TGCTCTTCCGATCTTTCTTTTACAAAAAATCAAGTTTGAAGAAAAGAGAGAAATTGTTCATATATAATTATATATGTATATTTTTAATCACTTATATATGATTATATATGAGCAATTTTTTTCATTTCTTCAAACTTTATTTTTTTTTTAAACAAGGTAAAAATTATTCTTTTAATTATTTTTTATGTTTCCTTCTTATTATATTATTATCAATTTTGTATTAAAGAATAATTTTACAAAGGAAAGAAACATATATAGATATATTTTGCATATAATTATATGTGGAACTTTTTTTTCCGAGGTTTATGAATCAAACTTGCACCAAGCACGAGAGAGAGAGAGAGAGAAATTTTGATACTTATGTGTATATATTTATGTGCATTCGTACTATATAAATATATATTTAAATATTGTAGATATACCGAGATTACTTTGATATATATTATCATCAAAGTAATCTTCCTGTCTTTAGAATATTTTACGCGGAATAATGTACTTTTATCTCACCTCTTTTTAATTCGTCTATATGTAATTCCTGGAGAGGAAAGGGATTTAAGGAGATCTGAGGAAGGAGAGAATACCGATAAAACTACACTACGTTCTTTGTCCGTTAATCCGCACTCATTCGGGCGGATACAAATATTTCTAAAATCGCGCTTAATACAGCAGCGGAGATAAATCCGGTCTAAGGCATTTTAATCTGTACTCCGTGTTTCACGAAACATTAAATCCTGCTTGAAGCCGTTTCGCAGAAAGCGCGCAGTATCTCCGGCAAAGTAGCGCCTTCCGACATTAAGATTCTATACAACTGGAAGTCATTTAATCTCGGCGGAAGATTTCAACGTCGGGCTACTCCGCGAGGAGAGGAGCGATAGCACGCTGTAGGATATCCCGCGTTTAGAGTTTGAAAACAGAAAATAAAGGCGAGACTGTTGCAAGGCAAATTCGACAAACAAGAATCGCGCACCTTTCTCATCTCGGGATGAGCTATTCTTCACGGATCGCGTTCATTATATAAATCATTTATAAAATTTAAGTCATAACGAGCGGATGTAAAAAGAAAAATGGTTTTATCGAACAGCTTTCGATATATAAAATGAAAGATAATCAGATTAAAATTCTTTCTCTCTCTCTCTCTCTCTCTCTCTCTCTCTCTCTCTCTCTCTCTCAAATGAGATATAAGATCAACTCTTGCGAGTCCGATGAATTAAATATCGTGGAACGTAATAACGACAAAATTCGCCGTTTCTCGCGGATTAAAATTTTATCGCGACTCGCGGAGTCTTGAGTTTCGCAAATATCCCCCAAGTCGTAAACAACTCGCGCGTAGCATCGCGCTAACGCAGTGTGCCATCGATTTTCTAGCGTATATGCCGCATATACCTACCTACCGATAGACGCGACGGTATATCGGCTGCATTAAACCGGCTGCGAATACACGTCGATAGTGATTGCCGGCTTACAGATTCCGCCCGAAAATAAAATGCCCTGCCGTGCGTTTTCCCGAAAAACTTCGACACGCGTGACACGTGTATACAGCATCGCGTTGCGCGACATGAAAGCGCTAGAATTGTAAGCCACTGCAATTTCTCGAAAATGTTGATTTTTGGTATCTCTCGCGGTTCCCTCTAATTATAAATACAGCGTGACGCGACGTCACAGTTCCCGCTGCACGAAGGGGGAATCGCGCAAAAGAAACGAATGAGAAAAGGCGTTATCTTCGCGCCGCGACCGCGGCTGGTTTCGCTCGGAATTCCAATCGGCGGTCGCGATTCGCGGCACACTGGTTCGTGTGCAGCGCGCCTGAAACGCGATTTAAACCCCCCCCTCGCTCGACGCGTAAAAGCTCGGTCTCGTCTAATCGATTTAACGTTTATAACGGCGCATCAAAAGGCGCACTTCCGGCCGTCCAAAAATCACCGCTATTCGGTTGATATTCGTTCAACTATTCACAAGCGGTCGGTCCAACCATGTTATCTGCGGTCAGTGACGTACCCCCCATTACGTGCTTGGATCGCGCTTATTTTCTCTCGCAGAGGCGCGATACAGAGGAGCGAGGTGTAGCCCCCATCCACGGCTTTGTAGCCTGATTCTAGAATAACCGAAAGGGCCATTGCGCCCGGCTAGCGGCTTTTTAGCGCTTTAGCCGCCACATCAATCGTACGCAAATTACGCCCGCGTTTTTTGAGGAGGGGGAGAATCGGGGGCTTTTGACCGAGGTTCTTTACGCTCAATTCATGAATAACGAATGCGAATTGAACACGAAAAGAAAACGAAAAATAAGACTGTTATATATGCCAATGCTACATTAAAAAAAAAAATACAGACATCATCTATTATGTTTTAATTTTGTTAATAATATCATTTTTTTTTATTTTATTCTGTCAGATATACGATCGTCAGAAAAACACACGAGGTATAGTAGCGAATCCAAGAATAGACGATTTTTTTAAATTTATTTTTCTCGCCCGATTTAGAATCTCTTTCGCGACGAGGATGATAAAATTATTTCAAGGCGATTTTTTTTTGTCACGGACGTATATTTTAATTGCGGCGATTGAGGCGCGCGTCATAATTTATGTCGCGAGAAAAAAAAACACGCGACAATATTTCTGGATTAAATGACCGTGGCCGACGAGGATACAGAACGTCCCCTCTAATGAATACATTAACGAGTGATGAGCGGTGGTAGTCTACGCGTCCGCGCGTGTGATCAAGTTCCCCGGTTGTTTTAGCATAAAATATTGAACAGATACGGATCGAACGGCGGCGCCGATCGTATGCATCCAGATGTGTTTGCTCAATAAACATTTCCCAGTATTTAGGAAAACAGGCTTGGCCCGGCACGAGAGTGTCCTCTCGTCGAATCCCGATTTCCTATTTTCCATTGAATTTCACCTCGCCGCGAAGCGCTGTGTCCTGATAAATGTTTCATACCGATTTCTCTCTCTCTCTCTCTCTCTTTCTCCCTCCCTCCCTCACTCTCTCTCTCTGTCTCTCTATCTCCTCTATCCATCTATTTCCTCCCCCCCTCCAACCCCTCTAACCACACACAGCGATATCGTGAATATTATTACGTAGGAGTATGAAATCCGCGTGATTTCTCCATGGCGTGCGTGTTTGTTGAGAATAATGGAATGCGTCAACAACGACGAGCGATCTCGAATAAGCACGTATCGACGTAATATTACATCAAATTCTGGCATTAATGCGATATTAATGTTACTTACGCATACACGTATAACAATAATAATATCCCGCGGATAATTACTCGAATATATTCGCGGCGAAAACGTATTCTTTTTTTTCCGTTTACGATTACACCGACGGTTAAGCACAACATTTCCGCCCCTCGGCGGAAACTAACGGCGCTTGCCGTCCGTGAATTAATCATGAGGCTTGAAAATCATTCGTCGCGCACGGCTTATGCATCCGGCGCGGAGTGCCGACCGGGCGAATATTTACCGGGGAGCACGATCGGGCCCGCGCGCTGAATCGCGTACTGTTTGCGGCAAATTCCACGAGAGATTCCATTGTAATTGAACGAGGCTGACTCGATTATAAAGTCAAATCATCGGCAGGTGGAGAAACGGCAGGAAATTCTCTTTCTTCGAAGCGAGCGAATGCGCTTCCCTTCCTTCTCGCCGTCGACTTTCGTAACTCACCCTCTTCTTCCCTCTTTTTCGCTTTCAAACGCCCGGGCGCCGAGTCGAGGTACAGACAATGACGGCGTCTTGGGACGCCCTTTCCCATCCTCCCCTCCCTCCCCCCCGACCCCCTCTCGCCACCCCCTTCCCCCGCGCCCATCGCCGGTTCGCGGAACGTTTCAAAAGAGACTACTTTGAGAAATTTAGGAAGTCCCCGAGCTCGCGCAAATTACCGGTGCCGTTAAAAGAGTGGGAAACTTGACAGGAATCTCGAAAAATGGAATTGCCTCTAAGGTCCTTGGAATAGTAAACGTTGTCGGCTTTAATTTAATGCAAGACCTGTAATAACACGCCGACGGAGAGATGGCGCAGTAACGGAGTATTTCCCCGCCTCCCCCCCCCCCTCCCCGTATAACTCGACGTCGTACTTCAATAACGGAAAAAGAAGTAGTTAAAAACTTTTGTTATCCACGCTCATTCTGAAATTAATCTGTTTCGCGAACGTTTCGTAATACGCGGGATGCTGTACGGGATACACGGGATGAGAATTGGGAAGGTAATACGTAATGCTGTATTTAAGCGATTTATTTAATCGATTGATAGATATTTTCTATTTGCGACTCGACGGACACGTATAATAGATGAATAGATGATGAATAATGTTATGTGTGAAACAGCTGCAGGATTGGCTGGGTTGAAAAATGACAGGGCTAGACGCGAGAACCGCAGCAGCCCCGTCGCAACCCATTCGATTCCTTTTTCCGCTCGATTCTCAGCGTTTCGATGAAACGTCATACCGAAGATAAAGCGATATAGTGCAAGGTTGGAGAGGCTCGCGCCAGTTATATTACACGCCTATTCCTAGGGCCGTCTCCTCTGGGAAACGGCGAACGCCACATCGAGGGGCGAAAGTTAGTGCCGCCTGGGGGATCGGTACGACCGATAATTGAGGCTTGAATTAAATTAGCCGTCGGTGTTCCATTCCAGAACGACTGAAAGTCTCGCGCGTTGCTCGCGCGATAACCGAATTGACCCACGTTCGCCGATCTAATCGCGATTATCGATCACCGCTCTTACCGCGCCGAGGTTTCATTAGGATCGATATCGCCCCGCCGTTAAATCGGTTAGGCAAGATGCATAATGGATTAAGCAAACGCACGTGAGTTTGATAGCGAATCGAACTCCTCTTTTGCCTTTGACTCGTCGTCCCTCGACCTCGCAAGTGCCACGCCGCGCTCTTACAGTTACTTTCGCGATGATAATTCTTGCGATAGATTAAAATGGATGTTCTCGTCCGCGAGCGTGAGATAGTTTGAGCACGAGGAAAAAAAAAATTGCGACGTAAATTGCGGTATCATAATGAAGCGGCGGAGACCCGCGGCGGCGCGGGCGCATCGATTTGCGAAAAATAAACCGGAACAAGGAACTTTATCTCGTATTTCTCCCCGCGACTTGGAAAGTTCTGAATATCAAAGTTGTAATTTATCGTAAGTACTTATATTCCCCGGCGGGGCCACCGTATCTATTATCGTCGCAAATTTTTCGTCCCGAGAAAGCGCGTTATCAATGTACACCATCGGAGAATGCGATATGACGCACAATTGCCAAAAGACACCTAGCTGTATGTATGTCTCGTTGTGCCATCCATTTACGTTAAATAAATCATATTACGTAATAACGTACGGGAGTTATAATGTACGGCGACACGGAAACGCATTCGCGTCGAGTAAATGGATTTACTTAAAAGTTTAATAATACAAGTAATAATTTACGCGAGCTTTATAGGAGAAGTTAAAGCGGAAATTCATTAAAACACAATGACGAAATGATTAAAATATAGGTATAATGACTTCTCTTCTTGCTCGAAAAAGCAACATTTCGAAAGTACATTAATTAGATTAGAAAAAAAGGACGTACAGCCAATCTTGGAGTAAGGCCTATGCCAATCGAGCTACAGCTGAAAATAAGCTAAAGAAATTGGTTTGGCGAATTCCACAATTCGCTTTCCAATTATAATTTGTTTCCTATCGGCCGTGAATCCGTGACGGAAAGAAAATTCCCCGAGAGAGGAAGATCCGCGAGAACGAACGGTGCCAATCACCGCGCCATCGGGGGAACGATGTAATCGCGATTAAAAATTTAAATCAGCCACTGGCGGTGATATCGTTAGCGGGCGAGGAAGTTCGCGGAGCGATCCGTCGGCGCCTGGCGTTAACCCTAAGTGGAAACACGGGGCAGGGAAAAGTGGCGAGAGAGGTTCGGGGGAGGGCTCAGAAATGCGAAGGATTGAAACCAGAAGGAGGAGGGTTGATCAGCGAGATGTCCTGCGGGGAGATAAGTTTCTCGGTGCAATCAGTGCCTCGGTACTTCCTCCAACCTCCCCGCCGCAACCCTTCCTCTCGGTCGTCCTCGCTCGCATCAACCACCCTCGTCGGTGTATCTGTACCGCACTTTGTCGCGGGCATTCACTTCCCTTCTTCACATTTCCGAGACTTAAGATAATACGGCCGCGGCATTTGGTTCACTCGACTATACGATGTTTTTCGAAGTCGCTTTTCGCACTCGCTCGCAGTCGAAGTTCGCGAGGTATTAGGAAAAGTATGATATTTGCGATACAATTGCGACAAATTGGATTTTTTATCGCGGAAAAATTGTCCCTACATAAATTACGATTGACATAACTCTAATGAGGATCTCTTTCACGTGTTTATTTATTTTCTTAAATAATTATCAAAGTTTTACAAATTCTGTTTTGTATCTCTTATATACGAGACACAGACAGATTGAAATTGAAGACTCATGGAATTTGTCAGACGCATGGCAGTGTCCGTTTAAAACAGTGGATTAATACCAGTGTTTAATCTGAGGTTTAAGGACAAACTCTGCAGATTCGATTGTGGCCGTGATTTTGACAATACGGCGATTTTGGCAATCCGATTTATTTAATGGCCGATCGTGGAAGCGGTTGCGCCGATCGTACGATAGGATTAATTAATAAACTGATTGATTCGGTTAAACGCATTAATCGTGCTGATTCGTGCGCGACCGGACCGGCGAATTCCATAAATTCGGGCATTGCCGATCGATCGGATCGCGTCCGTTCATCAGTGCGTCACATCCGACCGAGCGGATTCACCGCAAAACCGGACAGCGGTATCGAATGGATCAACGATTTTTAAAAAATGATGAATGGCCAAGTCCCATCGGCGTTAGAGCGATCCGTTCGCATTGATAGGCTCATTGTTGTAATTTCGAGCGCGGACAAAGGGCCATTTTTACGAATGATGGCTTTGTGTAAAAGAGTAGATTCTATCGCGAAAGAGATTCTCGGGTTCGCGATAATGAGATTCCGATTTCAAGCCAGTGTCAATTTATGCCGCGCGATTCGTGGTTTGAAATTGCAGTTTACTGTTCGTAGATTAACGGTGTTAATATCCATCGAGATCGCATTCGTTGTTTACCATTCGTGCCATTTCGCCAGCGAAGCAACTTTTTCATTATGAAACCAAAGGGACGCGAATTATCACGAATCGCGCATAATCGCGGGCGCTAACTTTTAGGTATACTCATTCAGAAATTGCGGTCAACTTAACGAACAATACGATACAAGCAATTGTAATTGTGTGTGCAGCACCGAGCCTCTTTAGCGAATGTGCTGCTGCGCAAACTACTGTTATCAAAAAGTAAAATAAATCTTGTGGGCGTTCCATTACATCGTATTCTCGCTTATTTACAGATCGGAGCCTGCCTTTCAACGTGCAAAGCCGTCCTCTCGGTGCGTCGACGGGGCGGCGGAGGTCGGCCGTCTCCCAACTTTCTTATTCAAGATGTTTTGAGAGCAATTTAACTTGGACTCCGGTCGAAGGGGTGCCGGAGCCGGTGGGTGCAGAGAGTTAAAAGCGGGAATAAAACGCGCGGAAGGAGAGTGACTGCGCTGATGCGGGAATACGGAGGAGCGGCCTGCGGGACGTGGTCGCGCCGGGCGAATTAGAGAGACCTCCCGGAAAATCCACCAACCCCCCCCGCCGTCGGAGTGCTGGCCGCTTTCGAGATTCACGAGGTACACCCGACCGGTTCGGCTGTCCACCGACGACCAAGGTCGCCGTACGGTTATGCTGGTGCAGGCGTCGCTGCAGGTGGCCGCCAGCAAATGCTGTCATGCCGCTGCCATGCCAGCCGGCGGCCCGGAGCCGGCCGCTGGTCACGACGTGGTGCCTGATCAGGCCGAGCCGTTGCTCTCCGCGCGTAGGACTCGCGCTGCTGCTGCCCCTGACCGTCTTGCTAATCCTGGCCGGCCGCAGTCGCGCGGCTTCCTCGCAGGCCGCGACCCGCTACGCCTCGCGCATCGTCGAGACGAAGAGCGGACAAATACGTGGAATACTTCAGGTATGTATCGATTCTTCTTGGTAGGGACCAGGGATCGGGAGGGGATGGAGGAGAAGGTGCAGTGGAAGTAGAAGAGGAAGAGGAGGAGAATGACAGGGTGTGGGGTATCGAGCGACGAACCACATCCCCGGCAGGATTTGGATATCCTGCAGGCAGGTGGAACGGGCGCATATATAGTGGAGCCCCGCGCTCGGACATCGAGTTCGGCCCGATGTAAATGGCGGATCGTGATTCGCGGATCGGCCCGTTCCCGGCAGTATTACGCGTTACGTCGCTGTTTCCGCGATGTACACGGCGAAAAGCGAGATTTATTGCCGGATTGAGCCTGCGGAAGCGGCATTTTTCTGTCCGCCGTCGTTTTGAACGGAGGGGAGTAGCTCGCTCGAGAGTACCAATTATTCGTGACAGCATGTGTCATTTTTTTTAAATAATTTTAATGCCACGATTCTTTAAATAAGTATAGAGATATACGTTTTGTAAAGAAAAACATATATATGATCCTCTCGCGTTAGGAACGCGATGTGGAACGGAGACCGCTGCAAAATAGAAAGGTATTCAGCGGCAATCGATTGCAGAATCTCTCGCGCAGGTCTATTCTTCCTGTTTATACAGGTAACGGGCGGTGGTTATGATAGTGCATATGCGATGACATGAATATTTGGATATTATGTGTACAGGATGGGATAATATCTTGGACATGAATTAATCTCCTGCTGCGGCTCACGTGCGAAATGTGAATCAATTTTGGTCAAGAGCTGTATAAACAGGCGCCCAGTTAAATGTCTTGTTAACTAATATCGAAATAATAATTATGGGCTATACACACCCCGGGTGCGCGCCCGAGTACTCTCTATTGAGTTCTACGTTACGCGGTAATTAATATCTATTTTCATTTTAACAATACGCTATCTATTTCCCGCTGATGTTACACAACATAATGGCAACGTTAATATAATACCGAGTAACGATTTTAACATCGCGCGCGCGACGGTTAAAGGGAGAGTTTAGCGTGTGTATACGAACGAGACGCGTTTCCGCGAAGATTTTTAATCTTCGCGCGTCGAGCGTCGCGGAGCGAAGTGAGAACGCGTTCGGCGAAAAACGAAGATAAGAACTATATCTAATGTTCCCTCATTAACATCCCGAGAAGCGCCGGTGTCCCCCGGGCGCATTAATCTTGCGATTTCAATTACTTCCACACTACTGTCTTCCTACATCTCTTAAATTTGACCGCGTATCCCGCGCTCCTTTCTCTCTCTCTCTCTCTCATCCCCGCGCTTTACTTTCTCCCCTTTTTCTGCTTCTTTTTCTCATCACTTGTTCCGTCCAATCTAACTCGTCGTCCTCAGTGCGCCAACACCTTTTCCCTTTTTTCTCCGCCCCCCTCGTTGCCCACCGACGTACTCTTTCATTAAATGCGTTACTGTCCTCCTATCACTCTCACAAACTTTGCAGACCTTCTCTCCCCGGCTTTCCTTTCCCGGCGTCAGTTTCTCCTCTCTTACCATCCCTTGAACTTATTACCGCACCTAAATCTTGCTGTCGACCCGACGTTAAAACTTCCCTTTGCCTGCTAAGTATCTTTACCGACCGATAGCTCTTATATCCCTCTTGCGTTCTTTTTGCCGCGCTATGGCGCTCTAATTAACTAACGAGAACACGCGTATCGCGCGCTCGTTAGCTCTCTCTCTCTCTCTCTCTCTCTCTCTCTCTCTCTCTCTCTCTCTCTCTCTCTCTCTCTCTCTCCCGTCTTCGCAGTTAGACACACATTTTCTTGTCGGTTGAGCACACACGTTCCCTCCGAAAGAATGCAGCAAGAACCGTTCTCGTCAAACGGTGTAGCGGAAAAGAATTCAGCAACGAACAAGCAAGCTTTTTATTAGGCGACTCGAAATTTCCGCGAGCGAAATTAAAATAATTAAAACACGGAATACGCACTGTAAAAAAAAATCCCTTTATATCCCCCCTCAATACACTATATTTCCAATACACCCCGCATAGCTGTGTGCGCCGCAGCCGCGGAGCGGAAACTAAAAGCGGTTCGATATCTCGATGTCCCGAACGACAGCGAAATTTTTCCAGGAGACAATTTGCTGGCAGCTCGTCCATCGGAGCCGAAGCGTTTTCACAACACCGATCAGTCAGAGTGGGCGAGGCCGATTTGACATTTACCGCGGCATTCGCTACGCCGGATGGTAGACATCAATTACGTCTAATAGATATTCATATCGACAAGAGGCGGATCGATGGACGTCCGATGATTCAACCCCGCGGCGCCCCGATGCCGCGCGGCCGCCGCCGCCGCCGCCGCGCCGCGCCGCTCGCTCGCAATACGAGCTGGCAAATTTCGCGTTTCGCGCGTTAAAGTATCCGCGGGCGGGATATCGTCGACCACACCCCCGGCCACCGCCGCCGCGGCTTTACATCGAAAATAAATTCGCGGCCGCGAACCGCGGGGGAATTGCGGGGGGGAGATCGGTCAATTGGACGCTCTCCGCGTATCAATCCGCGCGCGGCATCGTCGGCCGGGCTGCCGTCTGACAATAAACGCGACCGATTCGCAACGCGAAGCTTTTATCCGCGCGTGTTATTTAACTTTCTGACGCTTGATATTTGCGCGTCGCGTCATTGCGTTCATGCAGCAGACGCTCTCGCGAAATTACGAATCGCGCGCTCCCTCAAAATTGCCGCGTCCGGTCTCGAAAAAGGATCGCGCGCGAGCTATATATACTACACGTTTAAATTCAACGTTGCCCCCGGAATTTCATCTCCGCGCGCTTCTATATCGAGTCTGTGCGAGATACGCGTACACAAATTATAGAGGATATTGCAACGTCGTTGGAACTTCGATACTTCGGGGAACAATGTTGACTTATTAACTGCTGTACGAGCGAAGAGAGCGAAATAATTGAAGGGTTTGTGCAGCGTTAGAATAAAGCTAAGCCCGCGAGAGCTCCGCGCGATTCATCGCGGGGGATCGACTTTAAGTATACGTATACATATATAGTTGCGTCTAAAAGCGGATCTTACGCGTAAGTATTCCGCGGACTCGTGCACACCGCCGTCAAATCATATCCCCCTCGGCGCCTCATTCCGCCGGTATACACCGGGCAAGGTCTCTCCGCCCAAGGGAGATCGTCGTCGTCGTCGTCGTCGTCGTTGTGAAAGAGAACGCCGCGCGCGGATTATTGTACGCGCGCGCATTCGTAATGCGCCGCCGCGTCGTCTCGCGCGCGATTGAAACATCCGCGCGGATCAGACGCGGGGCATAGTCGCTTTGGCGGGAATTGCGGATCCGCAATTTACCGGCCTTTTTTCGCCCAGCCGGCAGTCCCCGGGCGGATGGATGGATAACGAGAAAACTTTTTCGCTCAGGACGCCTCGTGGCCTTTACATTACGTCGTAACGTGCCGCACAACTCACGGTTGTCGTTTTTTGTTCGCTCCCTCTCCCCCCTCGTCCTTTTCCCTCCCCCTCCCCTGCACGCGCCCGCGTTCACGCTCGCTCGCGTTCGCCGTTCACCGGTCCATTTCGCACGATCGAGCGCCATACGTTTTGCCGGAGGAAAACATTGCTCTGTCAAACGCGCAGCCGACTACAGCAACCGCCCGCCCCTCTCGCTCCTCCGCCGTGATATATAAGCAGAATTGTTTTGCATATTGCCGCCCTCGGGGCACCCGTTCAGCCGTTGAATCTTCAGCGTATAGCGAATCGATTATCGTTACGCGATTGCGAGAGAGCTACGCCCGTGCTCGCGGGATACACGTTTATTGTAGATGGGACGCATCGATAAGGATACCGGATCTCGACGTTTCGAGTTATTTAGTATCCTCCCCTCCTTATTAGGCGGATCACGCCGAATATTGAATCTCGCACGTATGCTGAATTCCTATGTGGAATCTAGGTCAATTTAATTCGGCACATTATGCCCTTATCAAAGGTACTCCGCGTCCTTCCTTCCCGACATCTCGGCATATATGGTCCGCGCGTTAAACGCGTCCGGATATAGGTACGTATAACGACGGAAACGCGAAGAAGTCGCACGAGTAGTTTTTCCCGCTTACTTACGCGCGCGAGACTCGAGACGATGAGAACCGCCGTTAATCGCGTGATCCGCAATTTCGTCACCGAAGGGGAGACGCGCGAGGGAAAAGAAATTTATTTGTAGGCGCGCGTTTTTTTTTAATGCAATTATCGCGCGCGGTTTACGAGCTATTCCCGTATTCCGGAACCGTGGCGTTTCCATACGCATTTGAAGCGTTTCACAAATTTTTCCTCACGGCGCATAATAATTCCCCGCGAAACTACATCTGCGCGCCGGTATTCCATCGCGGAAGTTTTTTTTTTTTTTTTTTTTTTTTCATCTATGCCCGTCGGTCCGAACGCGCGCTCGTCGTCGGCCCGATTGGCATTGCAAATGCACTAATGTATGCTCTTACCGCGTTCGTCAATTTGTGCCTTTGTAACCGGAAATTTTTCTTCGTCATCTCTCTCGCCGGAATTTCAATCTTGGAAATATTTTTCCCGGCCGAGAAGTGCCAATGCGTATACCTTTTTTCCTCTTCTTTCTTTTATCGCTGTCCTTTACGAACGCCCGGAAAGGAAAGAAACATCGCTCTCTTTCATTTTTTTTTGTTTGTCAGTCTCATAATAAATCTCCCCCCGGGTTCTAATCGGCAATCCGCCTGACTAAATGCAACTTCACGGTCGTTTGCGGCCCCGCGCGTCTTTATTCGTCTTTACGTTTGCGCGGACGCGCGACAAATCTTCTTCCGTCTGTTTCCAGCTTGCATTCACCGGGGGAGATTTGTCGCGAAACAGCCGTTTCGCGACTTTGAAGCTTAATAAATTTCTTTTACATTTATGTGCCCTATAACTCATTGAAACGCACCGCCACCAGCAAAAGCCTCCATACGACCGTTATTGGACCGTGTGTGCACGGCTGACGTAAATCCTCCGTATCTTCGCCATTTTTCCGCTCGACTTCCTTTGTCGCGCACATAATTTATTATACCTCTAAATTTACGTAATTTATCGTCCCGTTTAAATCATCCCTCTGGAATTTTTGCAACAACACACCGCATAATTGTTGCCGCATCTACAGTCCGGTATTCCGGCTCGATAAGGATTGTAGAATTATTTTTCCGACGCAACTCTCGCAACTCGCGTTCAGCTCTATACTCGACACGGCTGACGCCTCTAGAAAGCATTTCAATTCGGAAAGTACGATCAATTTTTTTTTTTTTTTTCCTTTATAAAAGGGATAATCACATTTTATCGCCGCCGCGATATATTATCATAGATCATATAAAATTCGAAGCATAATATCCACCACTAATTAATGCGAAACTCCTATCACAATTAAACATATATACGCGTGCGAATGTGCAGAGACGCGGTATTAATTTGCTTCGCTTTAGCGATGTCACGCCTGTCCTTCGCTCACCGTCGCATCCGTAATTTATGACGTAACCAAATTTATTTCGCTTGTTATCATCTCCATACGCGGGACCTAATGAATATCGCGCACGCGAGAAATGTAAACAATCCCTTTAGGGTAACAATTGTCGCGAAACGAATGAACGTATGCAAATTGTCGTGCGGCAGTACCGCTGTACAGTTGCGTACAAAACGTACGTACAACCGAAATGATAAATCAGCAAAGCCCCCGTCGCGAAATTATGCTGTCTTCAGATAAACAGAGCGTTTCTCGTTTTGCGCTCGCAATCCAACTCCGCGCGTCGCACGCCCGCCGTTCAGAGTTCGGAGTATCGGCTTATCTCCGGCGCACTGCACCGCACGCATTACTGCACCGAACGTATATATACATAATAGATTTTTTTTTTTTTACCAGCCATTTCGTTTGGGGATGCATCGCAGATGGGATCGACGGCGCGCATCACTGTCTAGCTCTGGTAACACCCCTCCTCTCTCCCTCTCTCCCACGTGTTTCCGTCTAACACGTGCGCCGGTAAATGCGGGCCATCAATTTCACTTTGTATCCAGAAGAGAGATTTCGGGATAGCATTCTCGTCCCTCCGGTTTATTCCGTCACTCGCTTCCCTCGGTCCCATTGAGGGCAGGCAAAAAAGAAAACGGACGATTTCACCTTTGCCCTCCAAACCTCCTCAGCTTGTCTCCCGGAGACACTCTCCACGAACTCCCGGGCTCATCGTTCTTGTTAAACTCTTAAAAGGAAGGAAGACATTTTAGAGAGAACAACGAAGGGGTAATCGCAACATCAGTTGTCGTCTCGTCGACACCGAGAACGTTACACGTTGCGCGTATCAGATCGCAATTTTAATGATGAATTTTTCGAGCGGGTTTAAAGTGAATCTTTGCGAGAGAGAAAAAGACGGCGGAGGGGGGGGGGGAACGTCGAAATGCATAATGTCTCCTAAAGTCTATTACTTCTGGCGAATCTATATATAGTTCCGACCGGCGAGCAAATCCCCAACTTCCCAGTTCGGCATGAGAGAAAAAATAAAAGAGGTTCCCCGCGTTCCGCAAATAATGAGAATTACGATCACGTCTGCGGGCGACTGATTTCGAAATAAAATTCGTTCCATTCGCCGAGAGATTATAATAATTCACCGGGCACCGTTACGCAGTCCGCCCACGAACCGTTCCGCATTTCTGCCACCCTTCCCCGTCCGCCACCCTCCCCCCCCTCTCTCCCCTCTCCCCCGCGTCTCGCCCCGAAAGGAGCAGACAGAGGCAATAATCCGGCCATAAGTCTCATCCCATCGTGCAGATAAGATTATTGCGCGACTATTACTCGAACTGAAAAGCGCCCGATTGAAACGGGCGCGGGATCTAACAATAGGCAGGCGTGGAGCCACGGCGCGCATCGATCGATTTTCGCAACGTGGCTCCACATGGGAGTCCCTTAATTGCCGGAACAAATTTATAATTAATTCCCTATCACGGCGAGTATTATTTTTTGATACGCGCGGTAACGAGATTAAATTTTTGCGGCTATGTTTGCTTACTGAAATACGGCAGCCGTATAGCGTGCGCAGTCGAAGTTTCGCCATAAACGTAATTGCCTAATTTTCTAAAATGTTAGGATAGCTGTTATGCAGCTGTGTGTGTCATTTCATTATCTCAAATTAGCGCAATTAATGGACAGGCTGATGTCATTGAAATAACAAACTCGTGTAACATTCGTTTCAAAGGTCAGCGTGCATATAATTATTCTCTGGGCAGCAGGGAATATCGTAAAATGTATAAAGGCTCCAAATCGACGGGTGTTTAAATCGAGGGACGGGGGGGGGAGAGTTCAATTTAATATTTAAATTTTATCGAATTCGACACACGCCGTGCCAAACTGCATCAATCGCGAATCGCGCGACACGCAGGATTGACTGCAGGCGCCGCGTCAAAGCGTGAGTCGCGCAAATTTCGGCGTCTGTCGAGCGCCGCGGCTATAGGGTTTAATGGTGGTTCGTTGACGGAGTAAACGTATGGTACCTCCGCTTGGAATCGGGGATTAATATCTCGAATTTTCTCACCTCGACCTATTTACCCCGTGTCCACGTGCGCTTTAATTCGCAAGTAGCTGCGCCCTGCAGTGCATTATCCGTGCGTCATCAGATGTATTATGGACATTCGCGAAGAGCGCCGCGATTGACGCGTATATATAATATCTCGCGGTCAGAAAATGCCGATGTATGAGAGAGATTTTATAGTAAATCTCTCTTTCTCTCTTTACTTAAAAATCTCTCTTTCACTCGCCACGGAACTGATTTTATAAAGAACGACGTATGGCGGTGAAAGAGCGGCGAGGTCGAAGAGAAACTGCTCGTACTTGTAACGCCGTTCTCGCACGCGAATCTTTTCACGAACGGCGTCCCTTTCGTCGAACACACGCGCCCCCGTGTGTTTCCATTTTCTTGCGATTTCGCACTAAGCTCCCCGCACCGTTGCCCCGTAATGGGAATTTATTTCCAACTACGTGATAGCTCGCCCGGGGAATACGAAAATGAATGCCGTGATCGTAAAATAACAAGCTGCGCCATGAACCGGGACGAACGTGCTCGTACATACGAAATTTCGAAACTTTCTCTCTGTCTCTCTTTCTCCCCTCCCCTCCCTCTTCCGCTTATTCAAATTTATTTGTTATTTTTTTAAATTGCATCTTTTTTTTAGTCGTATATAACGCGTCGATATATCTTCTTCCTTTTTTAATATTTTAACTGCCGGACAAGAGTCAATTACGAGATCGTCAGCCAGAACAAAATTCGCAAACTCATGGAGCGAAATTAATATTTCATCCACGTCATCGCCATCATCCCCGGGGATTTTATGGGAGCCTCGATAAGCGCCGATTGTTATCGGCAGTCGCATGACGCGCATTTAATTTTTAATGCAATTGGAAATGTCGAGTCGAATAACTCTCATTTTCGCCTCTCTCCTTCTTTTGTCTCCCCGTCTCTCTTCAGCTTTCCCTTTCCCCCACCCCCCTCTAATTTCTCTCTCTCTCGTACTTTTTAACGGTCGCATTTTTTTTTTTTCATCGATCCTGAAAACGCGACGCCGATACGATAAGGGAACTTTGTAATTTCCAGCGCGAATCGTAGAACGACCATTTCGACCGGGGCAGACCTTTCCCAATTGCACTCGGTGACGCAATTAAAGTCGAGCCGTGGCAAACGAGATCTATCGGTCCTTCTCATATAATTGTTTCCATGATGCGACCGAGCAGCAATTTTTCCCGTTCTCGATTATATATTATGAGAAATAGAACTTTTTACGCGATCGATTCGTCTCCGCGAGTCTTTTTGAAATAAATGTGCGCGAAATAATTTGCTAAAAGAAGCAAATTATTATTATTATTATTATTATTATTATTATTATTATTATTCAGTCTTATATAATTCGAATAATGTTTAAATATCATCCGCGAAATATATATATATATATATATATATATATATATATAACCAAAGCCTCTCTTTTGTAATTTGAATCGCTTCTTATTGCTTATTTCTGTCTCTTTCAGTCTCGTACGTCGCGCGTTTTTCGGCCGTTGCGACGTTTTCATCAAATGCGAAAATCAAAGCTCGCCCTTCTCGCGCAGTGTTTTTAATCACTGGCTCTGATTTTAAGGAAGGCCGGGATCGTATCTTTTTCTCACGCGAGCCGAGTATTTTTCGAAACACTCGCCCGATGCGCTTCCGATGCGCGGTGGGGATGAAATGGATATTGAGTGCATGGGTGGAGGGAGTGGAAAAGAGAGTGAGAGGAGGAGGAGCTTTTCTAGCTTTCTGGCTGTCTGTTTCCGTTTTTCCCTTCACGGAGAGAGATCCGTGTGGCCCCGAACAGAGAGAGCGATGTATCTCCGCGGAGGAGTATCCGAGCGTATTTTAGAAGCTACTTGCGCGAACGGACGGCCGAAGAACAAGGGAGAGGAGAGTTCATGTTTATCAATTTCGGAGAGCTATCCCAAGACGCCGGATGGAATCGATAAAACCGCGACCCTGATAAAACCCGGGGATATAAAACTGATACATCCGCCCCCCCCCCCCTACACACACACACACACATACGCACACATACACATACATAAACATTGTTGTATCTCGGTAAAACAAGTCGCAGAGATAGATGGTCGAGGACATTTTTAAAATAGATAGCGATGAAATCGGAAGGGGGATAGTTTCGCCTCACGGATCTATCAAATCTATTTCGCATCGTTCTCGTTGCAGGAATTGAACAGCCGGCACTTAGACCCCGTGGAGGTGTTCCGCGGGATACCCTACGCCGCGCCCCCGGTCGGCGACTTGAGGTTTCGACCCCCGATCTCGCCGATACCTTGGAACGGCGTCAAGCTGGCGGACACCTTCGGCGCGGTGTGCCCGCAGAATTATCCGGACCTCACCAATAACACCGCCGCGCTCTCGCAGATGCCGCAGGGCAGGTATCAGCAGCTCAAGAAGATGGTCGTCTTCCTGGCGAATCAGAGCGAGGACTGCCTCTTCCTCAATCTGTACATACCCGGAAGCGGTAAGAGGGGGTCCATAAGTCGGATCTATTTAATAGTATTTAATCACATTAACCGTTTGAATAAACCAACCGCGGACGCGTATATTAGTTGAAGAAGCGTTAGCGAAATTACTTCAGACAAGCGGCTCTTGAGTACGTTACACGTGTGCGATCCACTCTCCCGTAATACTTCCGTTCATTAGCGATTAAATTATGACGTAGTACCTCGAAGAGGTAGATTTTTTGTTTTTTTTTTGTCATTACGAAAAGAGGGCAAGGTCACGCGATAAATAACGTCCTTAAAAGGCGCTATGCAAAATTACGTTTCTATTGTCGCCTAAAGTACCTCGGCAGTAACGTAAAGTTCCCCAGTTCCTGACAGAATAAAAGGGATAATAAGTTTTAATGAAGGTCTTTATTCTTCGGGAAGGTAGTAAAGCTACTCCACATTGAGTTAATGAAAGTTCAACTCTTGCCTGAATAAATAATGTATTTCTCGCATCTTATTATTATTTATTTAAGCAGCATAGTTTATACGAGAGTTGCAACTCGATTATCAATTCTCGATCGATCTTTACTTCAAGGGGAACGCGTATATATACGCACGTTTATACGGCGGCTTCGGATAAATTCTTAAAATGCTCCGTTATAAAAGATTACTAACATTTAATGGTCCAAAGCGCTCGCGCGCGTTGCGAGCGCGAATGTTTCGGAGCGGATAAAAAGCTCGAATTGATTTCACGTTTAAAATTATGCATCGGCGATGCTAACGTTTTCAGGAGATGCAATCGACTCGGGGTTAATTTTGTACGACTAGAAAAAAATAAAAAAAAAAAAGATTTTATGCGGCGGAAAATAACACGTTACGTCGGAGGGGGTTGTTAAAGTTCCGGGATGCAGGCTGCGGCCATAATTCGGCTCCTGAAATTCTCAACTATATTATCTATCGGTGCCGACAATTTATGCGTCCGTATAGTATTACACGGCGCAAGTTGCTTCCTAAAGTAATTAGTCCTAAAGTAATTAGTACCTTTATGTGCCGGGTAGTATCAACCTGGGAGCAGCCGCATGCGTTACGTCGCACGTTGCTCGGCGCGCGATGAAAGATAGAGGCGAATTTGCAACGTAAAGCGGCCGGTCTGCGCCGTAACCTCGGTCGGGCTAAAAAGAGAAGAGGGAGACGGGGGATGAGGATTGAAAATTGCGCGAGCTACGCGAATAACACGGGGGCACGGCTATTCAGCAGGTTGCGGAGGAGAGTAAGAAGCTGTAAAAAAAAAAGGCAGCTCTCAATTGAGTTACAGAGAAAGCGATTGTAGATCAATCATATCCGAGAATTTTTGCTTCGCAAAAAACTCCAATTTTCGTGGAAAAATCTAATCGAGAGCGGCGCGTACTACTTTATACTACCGCCCTTGCATGATGCTTTCAGGCGATTTCAGGTTCGGCGATATCGCGACAATTAGGACAATTAACGGTCGCCTTGAGCGGCTGCTCAATAAGCGATCGCGCGCCGAGCACAGCCCGGAATGATAAGACAACACATGCACGACTATCGATTTGCATTCGATAATCGACAAAGACAGTGGCTTCGCGACGTTGCGTCGAGCACTCTCGGGTTGATCGATACTAATTGGGCTAGTTTTACGAGTTAACGGATAATCAAAGTAAGATCGCGCGGCGCGATTGAATTACTAACTACGATGATTGCGAGCTCACGTAACTCGGTGGCGCGCGAATCCGCCTCTCTCTCTCTCTCTCTCTCGTGGTGGTGGTTTAGGATGTCTCCCTAGACAGGTAATCCGATGTAGTATAAATCGTATAACAGACAGACGTTAATTAGTTGCGACGCGGCGAACGGATAAACGCATGCTCCAGGTTTATTAGTTGTTAAGACGATTATCAATTAAATGAGGACTTTTAATCTCGAAACCCGCGCGGCTGACGGAGACGTCAGTGGATCATGGAGGATCCGTGGAGATGTTTTTAAGAGGGTATTCGCCTAAATCTCCCAAAGTACTTACAAACACGAAAACCCCGTGCAGCAGATCTATAAAAAAGCGTCGCGTGATCCTAAAGCCTTATTAAAACAAGCTTTTCGCTTTAATTTACCTCCGGTTCCGGCTTACGCGACGCCTCTCGGCGTAAAATTTTACGTCCGTCGTAAAAGGCGAGCGTTTAAAAAAAAAGGTATCCGTTTTATCGGGGATGATTTTCCAAACTCCCAATGCCGTGCGGCGTTTACGATAGCCGCCGTAACGCGCCGGATCCGCGCGGATATGCGTCCCGGACGAATCCCCGCGCGATCGCGTAAACCGCGCCGCGATCGCGGGACGCGCGGTTATTTATTTGCACGCGTGAAAAGAAGTCGCGGCAGCGCGGCGATCGATCGGCGCGTGAAGTTGCTCAAAGGGGAGGTAAATATTTCGTGGCGCACCTGCTCTTCCCCTTCGTCTCTCTCTCTCTCTCTCGGTAAATGAACAGCTTTGACGCGCGCGCGCGCGCTATGAGGTTTTTCTTTCGCAGTCTCGCTCTACGTGCGACGAATCGCGATACCGTACAGATGCGCCGCGTTTCCGACGATTTCGCGAAATCGTGAAAAGACACGTGACGAGCTCGCAGAGAGTCTGGATCCTTAGCGTGGATTACGTGATGCAATTAGTCGTCTTAATTGCGCAGGTGGCAAACGGCGAAAACGACTAACCCATGGCTGCAGAGATGATTTTATTTTACGTTTCATAAGGGCGAGAAACGCTCGCGAAAGACTCGGGGGATTGAATTTAGTCCAGAGTGTAAACAATATCGCGAAACGAAGTTACAAGGCGCGTGAAGAGGAACGACACACTCTTAAAACGATGAAAGCTCTCGCAATCTCGTCGCTTTACGTTTTGCGACTCGCTTCCGGGGGAGGGGGGGTGGGGGAGAAGGGGAAGAGGGAATAAAAGCGGGTAAGCATAATGCTGCGTAAGCGATAATGTCGCCGCGGTATTACGGGAAAGCTGGATCTGTCAATGGGAGGTTTATACGGATAAGAGGTTTATTCGCGGAAGAAAATGGTAGAGAGAGCGGACACCCGTTTGCCTGCTGCTTTCAGGATCTCGAGGACTCGAGGCGCCGTACGCGGTGATGGTGTACGTACACGGCGAAAGTTTCGAATGGGGATCGGGTAACTTGTACGATGGATCGGTCCTGGCAAGCGCCGGCCACGTCATAGTGATCACGCTCAACTATCGTCTCGGCATCTTAGGTACGTGCCACCCTTTAATCAACCGTCCCGCATCCCCAAAAGCATTTTCATTAAGCGCAACCTCCTGACGCAACATCCCACGGACAAAGAGATTCCAAATGACATCCACCTTGCGTTAAGATAAACCATAATTTGTAGCTCGTAATCTCTCCTCGATTTTTATTTAGAACTTTCCTTATACTTTTCTGAATGTGTCATTTTAAAATTCGCAGAAAGTATACCTTTTTTTTTTAAGTATATCTTTGTATACTGAATAATGTTTAGGTATTTCATTTCAAGTTTTGATTAATTATCTTATCATTAATATCGTAAAATGCACCGCGTCTCTGCAGTAGTGTACAGAAAAGTCGTCTCTCGCGCGTTTATTACACGACTCGCGCACTTCCACGAAAGTAAGTTCGAATCATTAACTGCTATACTCTCCGAAGTAGAGAGGTAGAAACCATTTACATTCTTAAGTCAATATTGGCACTTCGAAGACCCACAAAATGTATCTCTGTCGTAGTGCGCTGCGAATATACGAAAGTCCGAAAATGTCAGTTCTATCTATTTACTTGTCAAACTGCCTTGGTTTATGACTTAATAGCGTAACGAATATTTACACGTTCCGTTTAATTATCACTGCAGTCGAGAAACGTTAAATTGAATCTTCACTGCGTGTGTATATCGTTCTTTATATTTCGCGTAAAAATCTTTCTTTTAATGAAATTTCCCAATCGTTATATATATAAAATAAAAAATCTTCATCTCTTAATTCGAGAACACACTTGCGGGCGAAATTTTATCGGAATGCAACCGCATCGCAAATGTTGCGTGAGAACGGGAGATTAAAAAAAGAAGAAAGAGGGAAATGCAATAAGGGGAAGGAAGAGGATATCGCGTGCGATCCGCGAGAACGATTGAATCGCGAACGATTTGGCGTCCTTCCAGGATTCTTGAGGACTCGCCCGTTCCCCGACCGAACGAGCGGTTCCGGCGGGAATTTGGCTTTAAAGGACATCACGATGGGGCTCCGCTGGGTGCGTGAAAACATCGGCGCCTTCGGCGGCGATCCAACGCGGATAACTCTAATGGGCCACGATACCGGAGCGGCGCTGGTGAATCTGCTGCTGCTCGCGCCTTACAGCAAAGGTAGGAGAGGGAGGAATCTGCTCTGGCGCAATTAGCAATTAATCCTTCGAACTCCGTACTCCGAACGCTCGCTCGCGTACAACGCGCACGAAGCGCGCTGAATTCCGTAGGATTCCAGTTTTAACGGAACGTTCTTACGATTTAAGTGCCACCCCCGGTAATTAGGGGGAGGAGACGCGGCGCGGGGAGAAACTTATGTTTGCGAACGATTTGCGTATATCTAGAGCGATCTCCGAACAAGAGCACTCACGGCGTGTCTTTCGGCGTTCTCACTCAATTTCCGACTGATCGATGTGCGTATTACTTTGCGAAGATATATATATATATATATACATCCCGCTCGTTCCTTTTCAGCGCGCCCGTCAAATCCCCGTTGACAGGTTAATGCCGTCATTGCAGTGCCGTCAGGCTTAACAGTTCATCGGTCACTCTCTCGCCGCGATATGGACCGCCGCGATATAAAATAAATCAATTCGATCGGGCGAGGACGGTATAAACAGCGGGTGTTGAGGGCGGCGGAAATATTTGCTTGTCGAGTAACTTGATCCAATATTTACGTAACGCCGCTAACGTATTAATAACGTTGTTGTTTACGACAAGGGAACACAATGAAAAATGATACCGATACCGTTTCGCCCGGCGGAAAATACATGCGTGAAATTCGACGTAAATCGAGCGGGGGAGGCCGCGCGCGATCGGATCGATTCCGACCTGTCGGCGCGATGGATCGGCGCTGAAAACCCCCTTCGACTGGCGAAATAACCGGCAGGTTAGAAGCGGAGGAGACGCTATTTGCAGGACCTTCGGTAGATTAATCGTCCGGGGATTAGTCGGCGGAGGGTCTCGTGGAGGAGACAACCGAAGGGTTGGTCCGTCCTCTCAAAAAAAACATCACCGCGCTCGGGGTGACAAATTGCAGGACTCCATTTTATTCGATGAGAGGAGAAAGCGAGACGCAGGACTCTTCCTTTTTCTCTTTCTCTCTCTCTCCTTCTTTCCCTCCCTTTTTTTTTATCGTCGCCGGACAACACCGGCCGAAATTGAACGATCCTCCCGGCTTTTGTCCCTTCAGGTGGCCATGGGATTCCCCGCGGTGGCTACTCGCGGAGCGCGGGGGACGCGCGAGGAAATTGCGCAATAATAAAAATGCATGGTCCTCGGGACGCGCGCGTCCGAGCTGCCGCGTGGAACAAAAGCGGAGCGACGCTAAAAGCGTCGTAAATACATCGCCGCGCGATAAATCCACGCGAACGCGATTACGGCGTGATATAGTTGGACACTAATTCCGCGCCAATCAGGCAAATTATGACTAACGCCGCGGCCGTTCCGCCACCCATACGTGCTTCGCATAATCGACGGTCCAGATTCATTCGATTTGGCGCGCTTAAATCGTATCCCAGATGCAATAATTTATATTTTCGAAAAGCACGATTTTTTTCATCAAATTATCTATTAAGATATACAATATACTTAAAAAAAAATCATTCTTACGTTTTTATTACAAAATTAATCGTTTTATTTAGGCAAAATTAAATCGCGACTATACATCAGTTGAAAATGAATTTCGGAGTGACAGTCGTGAAAAGCAGCATATATTGTTTCCCTTCGCGGTGAACCCCTCAATCACGAAGTTGTCGCCGTCGATAGGAAAAGCCGAAAGTGTAAATGGCCGCTCAGACAGGCGGAACGGGCGCTAAGAAGGAACACGAAGGATAAGCGGCATGCCGGGAGATAGAGATGGTCGCTCTCGCCGTCGTGGTCGGCCGGAACCACTCTCCCGTCTGGCCATTTCCCGGACCTCCGGTTGTGCCGGAAACAGTGCAAACAGTTTACATCACGAGAAGGGAGCATCGCTCTTGGTTGTGCATTCCTTCCGCGCGCCATCCTTCCTTTCGAGGCTCGACTCCGGTCGGTTATGGAGCGAGCGAGCGAAAGAAAGAGAGAGGGAGAGACGGCAGACGGACCCTCGGGGAAACCGCTTTTCTTTGGCATCCCGGACGCCGCCGAGGTCAGTCGGTTTTTCCGATCTTACCGCACTTTCCGCTCCTTCGATTCCGTCGGGCGCCGCCGGTGGTTTCCGCGAGACCAGGTGCGGTTCCGCACTTCTTGCCACCGCTGCCCAGAGATTGCGGGAGCCGGCAGGATGCTCTTCTCTCGAAGGAGAAAACTGCGCGCGGCGTTACGGAGCGAAGTCACGGAGGCGAAGCGGCAACGAAGATGCATCGATCTTTAATCCGTGCCGAGAGAGAGAAAGGTCTTAATTTCTTTTCTGGAAATAATTGAAGCTCTCGGTGACCGCGAAGGGGCCTTATATACCTTATATAAAGAGAGATCTACTCCCTTATACTTTACTTCAGACAAACGACATTAGCTTCTCTCGCAGACGAATGCATCGTCCGCAGCCGCTGAATATTGCAGCGGGATGCGGCTCGGACGGTCGGTCGGTCTGGGACATATATTATAGTTATGCAAAGTTAATAGGAGACTGAAATGGAATGAATGGAGAAGTGTCGATGAGAGTTGTTTCGCCACGACGCTGCGAAAATATTAATAGACCCTTTACATATCGCGCGGACGCGCGGTTACGAGGAAACTCGCGGGAACGTGATATATTGTATATATATATATATATATATATATAGGTATACGCGCGTTGTCCACCTCGATTCGGTTCGGTTAAAGCGCGACGCGTCGTAACAAGGATTCCGGATTAAGTTGCACTGAAACTGGTGTAAAATCGATTCGGGTGTTACGTTGATTTCCAACGATTTTTCGCGGTGCCCAACACGCGGCGTTCCCGGCGTGCAATCCGCTTTTTGCCGGTGCATTTTGTTGTACTCGATACGATTACGCGGGGAAACGGCTAATGGCTTTGCCTGGCGTTGCGTAAAAAGTTGCAAAACGATCGGTTTGGGTTTCCCGTCGATAACTAGCCGTCGAAGGTACGATTGCTTTCCCGCTGCTGCAGCTTGGCTGCTGTCTGCCTTCGGCGGATTTCGATGTTCGATGATAAATGAAGACCGGTGCGCTCCTACCCCCGCCGACCACCACACCGGGGGCACCGCCGGAGACATAAACGTTTCGTATTACATCGATCTCTCGTGTAATTCAGAAAGCCACTTCTTCTGGTCCTCCCAGGGGTGTTTGGGGCGCGGTTTCCCCGCCTCCCCGTCTCAATCCCGAGAAGACTGTCGACGTTACGTATCATCGCCCGGGAAGAGACAAGAGAAATAAGCTTCTCATGGCACGGGGAGACAGTCTCGATTTATCGTTTCTCCCCCGTTGTAATTTTTTATGAGCGAAGACCCGAGCGTGTGCAGCACGCCTTGAAACGTCTTCTCCTCTCTCTCTCTCTCTCTCTCTCTCGCGCGCGCGCGCGCACTCCTATGTTGCGTATGTGTGCGAGTGTGTGTGTGTGTACGTGTGTATGTGTGTGGATTCTTCAATCCTTGGAAGGCAACATCGCCTCTTCTAGAATTACTGTTTCTCTCTCTGCCTCGATGTCGTATCCGTTCCTCCAGCAGTTTCATGATTCTCACGGACCAGAGATACGAGCGATTGGCTTCGTGAGTAATCAAGGAGGCAACCGAGTGTGATTCCTGGCAATTGTCTGATTCGCTGCACCCTGAGACGTATAAGACCCCGCCACGGTTATATCATGGCAACTCGAGCGTCCACGGCGTTACGGATTATGTTTGTGCGAATATGAGAGAGAGAAAAAGAGAGAGAGAGAGAGAGAGAAAAACAGGATTCTATTTTCTGAAAATATCTCGCATGAAAACGGAACGGTGAAGTTCGGTAGATCAACACAGAGATCAATATATGAAGTAAAGAAAAATAATCCAATAAGTTATTAATTCTGCAAATTTTCGTGCAAAATGATGTTTAATTCTTTACTTTAAATTTATTGAATGCGAACCCCAGTGTTTCAAAAAAATAATTACGAAATTTGTTATTAAAATTTATTACGATTAGAAACGTGTAAAGCGGGCGCCGTGTCCCGTGGGAATGGTATACGATGAGAAAAGCCAAGCGCCATGCAATACCACGCATAACAATAAGTCATAAAAATAGCTTCCAAACAGCGTTTCTACCTTCGCGTCTTCCGTTTCGCGCGGCGTGCACCCCCTTCATTCTATTTTGCAGTTCGTTACCGACAAAAATAACCCGGGGAGAGAAACGTCCCGGTGACATTGCGGAAAAAAGAGCGCGAGGAAAAGAGAGAGACCATTTCCCGGATTTTCGAGAACCGCGTCGTTATTGGTCCACGTACAATCGCCCGGATGCAGAATTGATTTCGGCGTGTTACTCTATCATCTCGACGATCGTCGAAAATCGTTTTTTGATAGGCCGCTAACGCACGAAATTTCGATGTAACGCTATTCAATTATTTTCAAAGTATTGAATTATATTAACCGGCACAATACCTGCCGTCATTTTATTCGACATTCAAAATATGTATACCATTGCGTCGACAATGTGCACTCAGCGATAGACTGTTTAAATACATATATAATACAAACCGAAATTTATTCATTCCCTAACGTACTTTCGGAATTATCATCAACAATTTTCTCCCGGTGGTAAACCTAGTATTTCAATAAAATTAATGAACGTTAGAATTTAATGAAGAGCCAGAATTAAGTGTGTCGCGCGCAATCTGCCCTCGAGAGTACCGGCCGGCAGTTTTCGCTCTTACGTGTTCAAACTTAATTCAATCAGTATAGCGCTCCCGGAGGTCTGTACGTGTTCATAGAATTTTCACGAGACGCACGAAGTAATTTACATGCGGAATGTCGACTGAACCGTCAGCGGCGGGAAGCGGAGAGAGGAGCGTGAGAGTATGTCCCGATACGACGACGGTCCTGAAGTCGTGGCCGCGCGGAGTAAGTAGACGGACATTCCGTTCCGCGAGTCTCTTCTTCTTCTCTCTCCGTCAACGAAGAAAATAAATTAGAACCGCCGTATTTTGCGTCGCTTCCTTTCAAAGTACAATTTGCGTGCCAACCAAATAGGATTCTTCCTGAATTGGATGAAAATTCACGTCGCTCCCGCAGAACCGACGCGACGCCGACAATGTTATCTTTGTCTCTTTTTTTTTTCTTAAGTAGTAAGGGATATTAAGCGCCTTTACCTCTCCTCTTTAAAGAAAATAATATTTCCAACGACAAGATTACGGTGCTCTCGGTAACGTCCGCAGATGAACATCGTCGGTGATAACGCTTTTTTTTCCTCCGGTAAAAGGCATCGATATCATCGGTGCGTGAATATCGCATAACCCGTGCGCATGATGAATGCCGAATTTTTTCCCAAACCCCAGCGAAATACCGGGGAAAAAACCCTCGGCCGGGAACAAATACATCTTTTTAGTCCATTATTTTTTATTTCATTTAACGAACGCTGGAAAATCAAAATCCTTTTAAAAAAAAAAATAAAAATCATTCGCGCTTATATCTTTGAACTTCGACGGCGTACTATAGTGATATACTTTGCACGAAATCCTCCCTCATCTACGATTGGAAAGCGCCCATCAAAGCGTCAATCGAACGAAATCTATTTTTCCATAAAACCGATGCGTATATATACTCGTGTAACCGTCGACGATACTTTCTGTTGCGGATTCGTCGGAAATTCGAGAAATCTCTAATTGAGATTTAGATCCTTCTTGCGACAGAAAATCGCAAATCCCGAAGAGAGACGGCTCCGACATTCGGCGTCGGGTGAAATTCGACAAAAATCCGGATGTACATATAACTATACGCGAGCGAATATACGGGTCATTGAGAAGTCCCGATTGGGCACTGGTCATCCCGTGATGCGGTAATACCGCGTTCCTGAACGACGATCAGCCAAGCCGGCCGCTCGATGCCCGGCCGCGTTCAGCGCCCGGGAAAATCCATCCCCCGAACGTAAGCCGGCCTGATTACCACCGTCACGCGCCGTTGTTTCTTGTTTGCCTTTAATCTTTCGTCGCTTCGCTAACGAAAAGTATACAATTTCCGCCGACCGCGCGGCGCGCCTTCGCTCCACTTTTTTCGCACCCCCCCCCCCTCCCCCTCCCCCTCCAGCGGTCTGTTTCGTCGCGCTCGTCCGGAGGAGCCCATTATTCACGTCATCAAGAAGCACCGAGGCAGGCACCGTCGTCAATTTTCCAGGGGTTCGTTCTCTCGTCAACCGGCGCCACGACGCCGGGCGTCGCCCGAGCTGATGAGCGAGGCGAAGTATCGATGATTGCGCCGCGCAATGATGAGAGAGATCAAGTGAAGGAGATCAAATGATCCCCGTCGAAATGGGATGGCGTCCCTCCCGATGCTCCCCGCGGTTCCGGAGCCCCACGTCGAAATTTCATCGACGTGTCGCGACACGACGCGACGCGACACTCTCGTATCGTGGACATGACATTGTGGAGGAATTATGGTACGGGCTGGCGGAACGAGGCTAGTCGCGAAACGACGGGGGCGGGAGAAAGCGCGGACGAGGGGGGCAGGGACGGGCAGGGCATTGGGTGAAATATCGTGGTTTAACGTGACAGTTTAAGGGCGTTAACCCTGGCGACGCTAATGTCGTCTGCGCGATGGAAGGCGCGCGCGATGGCCGCTGGCCGGCGGCTCTTCGCTGTCCCCCCCCCCTCCCCTCCCCCCTCGTAGAAATGGCGATCCGTATTTCTTCCGCAACATTTATTAATACACGTTTCCCAAAGTACAAGCCTGCAATAGTCGCGCTGGAACCGGATGAAAAATGGAGTAATTGCGGGACGAGAGGAAGTCGAGGATCCGCGGCGAGGCGAGTCGTTTATTTCGGCAGGCGCGGTGGACGCTGCACTTCGGCTTCTTTTAGCCGACAGTAAATAAAATAACGTGTCTGAGATTAAGAGAGTGAAGTGCACTGTTCGAGATATACTTTGATAGAGGAATTTTGGGGGAAAAGGGCGGGGAGGAGGAGGAGGGGGAGGGGGGAGTTCAACGACATTGCTAAAATTGCAAAGATAGGGGGAGGCTTCGATCGAAGCGATCCTCCGTCACGAATATCGGGCGCGCATGTCGGAATCGACGTGCAATAGTCAATCTGCGATGCGGGGAGCGACGCGATGCTATCGAAGGGAATAAATCGAGTTTCTCTCCGTGGCCGTGACTCCCTGCGTGAAACGTGCCTCGCCAGAAATAAGAAGGAAGGAGCGCAATCGCGGATGTCTATTATCGGCGGCACGATATATATATATACGCGCGGTCGAGACGTCGACGCCGAAAACGACGCCGCGCGCGGGAACGGCGAGCCACGGAGACGTTCCGCGTCGTATCTGGTACGGGGAGGAGGAAGGGCCGCAGTTGGATATACAATAATTGGTCCCAGCGCCACGAAGTCGCCGCTGCACGAAGCGCAGCGGTCGGACAGGAGGAAACACATCAGAGACGTTCGTCGAATCGCGCGAATTGTGGAAACAATTTCGAGAACGAGAGACAGACGATATAACTGTATATACGTTATACGAGGAATCAAATCCGCGATGGCACATTTCGCGCTCAAGATTAGCTGTCGGGGATCCACCGACGGATGGATTATCCGTATTTTCCTTCCGGCTCATCCGCAGACGTATCGCGCGCCATTGGCAACGCTCCAGAGGGGACGGATGGTGTGCAGCGCATCAGGCAGCACCTCTTAATAATAATAGCGATAAAGCAACCGAAAGGGGGGGGGGGCACCCTCGGGTCACCGCGTATAATGCGCGCACCCCCTACCGATCTGCGCCGCGCGCGCTGCTTCGGAGTCGAGATGAAACCGCGCGGCCCCGTGTGACGGAAGACGAGGATGATCTCGCGCTCTTTCTCTCCGTGTCTTCCCGCGTCCTCCTCGCTTTCCTCCTACGCGACTTCTTTCCCAGTTTTACGGCTCGTTGGCAGCGGAAACTCCACGTTAAACGCATCCGCGATTCCGCCGTTTTGGAATAGCGCCGCGCGACGAACAGATTTAATATAATGAGATGCGACGTTTCCTAAGTAGTTGGCGAGGGAATATCGCGCACTCGGCGCATTCCATGAATGCCAATGGAGCGATAATAATATTTCGCCGATAGTAATATGTTTATGTTGTATTTAAAGATCAGGTAGAAAGGCAGGGATTTTTATATTGCAAAATCGAAGCTGCGTTCGCTGGTTACACTTCTCCGACCCTTCCGACCGGGTTCCGACCCCAGGGAATAAATTCGAAAAAAATATCAAACTGTTTAATAATCTCTGCTTTCGTTTAATCGGGAAACTTTTCTAAAACGGAGAAAACCGCCGGATAATAAACGCCAGTCGAAGAGTATCCACTAGCGTTACTCGCGGGTCAGACTGTTGTCACTTATGCGAGAAATTAAACGTGTGCCCTGCACGAATATGTCGAGCGCGTGTAAAGTCATAAAATATAAATATTTGTATCGCGCATCAACGATACGCGAATGTTTATGTTGGACACATATTGCCTAATATTTCTCTTCGCTGCTGCATGCGGGACGAGCGCCACGCTGTGCGCGCGCGCTGTGTTTGCATTCGAAACAGCGATTTTCATAAAGAAACCAGTGACGTTCGATAAACGACTTTAGCGTCAGCATAAATGTTTGCCGGCGAATATGATTTTCCGGTTCGTAACCGGAATACGTACGCGCGCGCTGGAGATACTATCAAACGCGATATTAACGCGCCGCTTGAAAACGTTCCGCTGCGTTACGTCATAAAATTCAGCTCATTAAAAGCGAGATTAATTAGATTCTGCAATATCCCTTCCAATTAGCATGAATTTTCCATGGAGGCATATGATTTTCCACGTTTCAACGGCCGTCGTTTTTCGCCGTCGGCGACCGTCGAAATGGCGTGCGCGGTATATTAATTGCGCGCCTGCATGCCTAAAAAATTTCTTCCTATAATACACACCGCCGATCGGATATTGAAAATTGCACAAACGTATTTTTCCGCCCCTCTCGTAACGACTAATTCAACTGCAACTCCTCGTAACGGGTTTTTTTAATCGCCCAATAATCGCGCGTACGCGGTTAATTCGTTCGGATTTTCCGCGACCCGCGCGGAAAACAATCCGGGGGTGTTAGCGGCGTATTACGGCGCGCGATCATATTTACGTCCGTCGCTAATTATCCATGCGAGGATAATAACCATTTTGGGGCAAACTCCCCCGTCGGGCTCATCGCTTCCGCTCGATCGGCCGGAAGCTGACGATATCCTGCCGTATTCGCCATTCCGATATATATACACGAGTTACGACGAGCTTAGCGCGTCGAGCGAAGGGTTCTCTCCCCCGGTGCCTCAATCGCGAGAGTCGCTCCTTGCGTGCCCCAACCGCTTCTGCTTCTTCCGCAGGATTATTTCACCGTGTGGTATTATCCAGCGGCTCGGCACTAAGTCCCTGGGCCTCGGTGCACGATCCGAACGATCTCAGGACGAAGATCGGCGAGCAGATGGGCTGCTCGACCGAGGGTGACGAGGACATAGCCGACTGCCTCCGTGGAGTACCGCTGAAGACCCTCATGGACGTGCAATTACCGGAAATCAGGTGAGCGTTCACTCAGACACGAGCGAAGCGTTTTGGGGAGTGTTCTCACCTCCCCCCCCCCTCCCCTTCTCTCGGGGAGACAGACAGTTTAACATTTGGAAATTTCGACGAGCGAAAATTAAAATAATAAAATATGTATCGCGAAATTGGCACAGATGGAATGCATCGATACCTCTTTTCCAATCTTTTTATTTATGATAGCATGTCGACGTAATAAATATTACCTTGAAATCGCGCCGTTTGTGCCACATATACATACGTATATACATGTATATATGTATATATATATGTACATACATATACACATATGTATATATATCTCGTGGGATTCATATTCATCGTCTGAATATTGGAGCTATGCATTTCGATGAAAAGTGGAAAATGCCGGATTGTAAAAAATTCAACAGATATATGATTGATACGTTAAAAAAAAATGACGTCTGGCCAGCGTAGCGGCAATTACTGCGCTACAAATTTATAACAATTTCATGAGTCCACGGCTGCGGTGAATTATGATAAACTGTCCGTGAACTGTCGAAACTGCACGTGCAGCGATATTTAAAGATCTAATTGTGGTGTTATAAATTTGCCACGTTGGACGTTTACGCGGAGGGAAGCGCAATCAGATATCGGGGAAAATCTAGAAAGTCACACACCGGGTCTTAAATTAAATTCCGTCGACAACTTGCATTATTCGCGACGATTCCAGACGGCTCGCGAGGATTAACTATTAGGCTGTGCAGCGAGCGAGCGCATTTACAAGTACATTTATCGCGAGGTCGAAATGAAGTAGTATCTGCAATACTACTAATTGCAAGGATAATCACGGCGCGCGCGTACGCCGTGAATTATTATCGGATTACCGTCGGATCGTGGCGGGTTAATAGCTCTCGCTTTATTGATTTAATACCCTTATTATAACAATTAGTATCGCGGTCGCTCGCACGCGAGCGAGAGGAGGGTGTCTGACTTTCCCCCCGTTCCAGATTCGTGCCCCGCGTCGGGCCCGGCCTGCCGGTGGACCAAAACAATCCCGACGCGGGTCTGGACATGGAGCGCGCGAGCGACGCGTTCATCAAGGTGCCGCTGATCCTGGGCGTCTCGACGACCGAGTCGAATCTCGACTTCAACAACAACGACATACAATTCGGCTTCGAGGAGGACCACCGGAATCGCATTCTCCGTACCTTCATCCGCAACGCTTACGTCTACCATCTGAACGAGATCTTCTCGGCGGTGAGAAACGAGTACACGGACTGGGATAAGCCGGTGCTTCACCCCATCATAATACGGGACTCGACGATGGAGGCGTTGAGCGATGGTCACACGGTCGCGCCGCTCATGAGAATCGCCTTCTACCACGCCAGGCGGGGCGCCAAGACGTACTTCTATCACTTCAATCATCAGTCCAAGGACAGCGGCTACGTGCAGGTAACAGACAAGTGACAACGTCGTTATCGTTACCCGAGAAAGCTTGCAGGTGGCGAACCTTGTACAAGAGGTTCCTCGGTGCGAAGAAATTTTATCACCTCGTAGTCATTTTGTTCTTATAAATATCGGAATTTCACGACGTAGCTTTTAAGTAATAGCCAACGATAAGAAATTTCCGGGGCAGGTAAGAGATTTTCTCCGAGGAGAATTTGCGCGGCGGTATACGCGAAGGCAAGCAAGAAATCGCGTAACTTAGCGTTGTCGATCGACGGGGGATATCCGCAGTATCTCGAGGCGTCGATTTTTCTCTATCGCGAAACGATATCGTCCACGCTGTCGTAACACACAGCCACCCGCGCCGCCACTAACACAAGCGGATGGCGGTGCGGGTAGAGCGGAAGAGGTAGAGACGCGCGCTGCTTAAGTCTGAGTTAACTCCATTAACTTGACGTCCCGAAGAGAGACTAACGTTCGCCCTCGACACCTAGTAGTCCGCCGGCACTTCCAGTTAAGGAAGCAACCCGTTCAACCCCTACCCGACACACACACACACACACACACACACACACACACACACACACACACACACACACACACACACACAACACATACACACACACAAATTCTCTCTCGATCCTACTCGTCCTCGTAGCTCATCCGTCTCACTCTGCGTCGCGCTCGATCCATACCCACGGCTTGGTAACCGCTGGCCATGACTTCACGATGAAGACACTGATTTAATAAAACGCCCCGAGCGACCCGCGCGCACCGTGTTCGCATTTTGTCTCGGGAATGACGGGGATTTGTCACGCTTGACATAATAATATCGGGAGGACAAGAAAGAAATTGTTATATCGGCCAATTTGTAAGGTCGCTGCCAAGCGGCGCGTTAAACTCGCGACAGGGAAACAGATTGACGTTTTCAATTTCAGGCGGGGAGAGGAGAATCCGCACGGCAGAGGGGAAGGGGAGAAGGGGGGGGGAGAGCTTAAGAAATTTCGTGTACGGTATATGTGTTTGTTATATTCAAGAAAACGAATTATCTCCGGCGAGCGCGGAGGTTATATTATCTTCCTCGCGTTATATTATCTTCCCGGGCGTTATTTGGAAACAACAACGCGCGCAGAAACAACGAAAGTCAGCGTTAACGGTGCGCGTCACGTTGGACCCCCCGAAAGTTGTTTAATCCCGCGCACGACGCGCGGGAGGGGGGGTGCAAGTGGTCGTGTAGTTAACAGCGATTCAGAGCATCAACGTTACCTTCTCTTCTCCCTCACCCCTCCCTCCGCCAACCCGCTCTCCCGTTCTCCACATGTGCGCGAAACGAGATTTAATTAAGCGCCCGGCGAAATATTCTCCCCTTTAATAAGTTCGCGTAATCGCGACTAACTCCTGCGACGCTCCGAACACAATCGTAACGTCATCGTCGTCGTCGCACTTGGTTTACCAGTGGCGCGCGATAAAAAAGAAATGAGCGAATTAGCCGAGACAAAGGCGGAAAAAGCCGCGCCGAAGAGAGATAAGAAAGCGATATCAAGACCACTGAATGCAAATGCGATGAATTTATTTGAATTGTTAATCGCGGCGTTTTCCGCCTGTGCGCCACGATCCCCCCCCCCACCCTCACCCCTCTCGTCGTACATTCTTTCCCGCGTGCTAATGGGGATCCAGTGGTATAATACGCGGCACCTCATTTCACGCAGACATGATGGAGAATTTCGCTGTCGGAGATTATATGTAGGCCGGTAAACTACTGGAGAGGGTCGAGAGAGAGAAAGAGAGAGAGAGAGAGAGAGCATCCCCATTCGCAATTCGCGGGCAATCGTATATCGTCACGATTCTATTAATTAACTAAAATTCTAGTAATTAGCTATCAATAATTAACTAATATTCTGTTTCGGTTAATTAAATAAAACAATCGCCAATAGCCGTTGATGATTTAACAACTGCGCCATATGAATTACGAATTACGTGAATTGCGGGTTTAGAGTAAATATTATATAATAGACTCGCGCCTATACGAGTGCGCGGTGTAGTAGTGTGTTGTCCGCGTATAATTATCGATTACGGAGCTCGGGGATGCTCGCGCGCGGGCTCTTGCGATTCTCTCTCTCTCTCTCTGAGTGGGAAATCTCATTGCAGCGCCTGGGGAGCGTTCGTGGGGAAGACATACCGTATATTTTCGGGCTGCCGTTGGTGGCAGGCGGGGCTTTCTTCCCGCGGAATTATTCCCGACAAGACCAGGGCGTTGCGGAGGCCGTACTCACCTTCTTCACCAATTTCGCCAAGACCGGCAACCCGAACGAACCGCACAAGATCGAGTCGGTCGACTACGGCACGCCGAAGGAGAAGACGCGATTCCGCGGTCTCACATGGGAACAATATGAGACAGGATCTCAGCAGTATCTCACGATAGGTATGTCGCGCTCGAAACCGCATGGTGAGAGAGAGAAAGAGAGAGAGAGAGAAAGAGAGAGAAAGAAAGAGAGAGAGAAATTTTCCCCGTTATTTTTTGATAAATTTAATTTTCCACAAAGCGCCTTCTTCCTCCGTCTTACATTTCTCGTGAAGCGTCGCGATCTTTTTAAATTCCCTCAAAATTTTTCTTCAGAATTTCGATTGTGTATAGAGAGTGTGTACTTTGTTCGTCGTGCCTCGACGCTCTCTTTGAAATTTCCTTGAAAAGTTTAATTGGACGCAAGGAGCAATCCTTTTGAATGAGAATGCAAAATGACCCGATAATATAATTATATAGATACTACTCTAATGCATTCGATAATTACACTGAATTCATTATTAATAATTATTACGCGACAATACGTTGCTCAATTGCACATTTACGATTGATTAATACGTAATAACTATCCTTTAGTGGAACGGCGCTGCAGATAATTCAATCAAAGGAGGACGGGCGTTTTTAACTGTTCGAAATTTTATTTTAGCGTTAAAGCCGAAGATGAAGAGCCATTATCGCGGCCACAAAATGGCTGTATGGCTCAATCTGATACCGCAGCTCCATCGTCCTGGCGACGACGACGTCTCCATGCGGCATCATCACTTCCGGGAACGAGGCGATCATTATTACGCAGGTGAGATTATCTTTCGTATGTGAGAAGCGAAAGTTACAAATTCTTATTTATCTCGCGTTTGGCATCTCACTCAAATTATTCTCTACTTTATTATTATTCAGGACCGGTTCGGGATGAATGGTACACGCCACTGCCGCTGACAGGCACGACACGGACGAGCTCCTCCTCGACCACCGCCTGCAGCACGTCCACGGGGGGTGAGGACGGCCTCATCGAGGACATTACCCCGATTCTGGACGATTCCGAGGACGATGCCGAGCTGCTGCAGAGACTGGCGTCCCGCCATTACTACAGCACGACCACTGCCCTGGGCATCACCGTGGGCGTCGGTTGCATCCTCCTGGTTCTGAACATGCTGATCTTCGCTGGCATTTATTACCAGCGGGATCGCGACAAGAAACGCGCCGCCATGGATTGCAGGCCGAACGGACAGGAGTCTCTGCCGATGACCACTAGAACGTCCATGAAGTCCTCCGACAATCCGCGACCCGCTCAAGAGCCACCCCCCTCGTACACGACCCTCGCGAGGAGCCCTTCCATCCAGGAACAGCAGCAGCTCGTGCAATCCCAAGACGGCCAGGACAGCGAGCAGCTGAGGAAAGACCCGAGATCCGGCCACGGGACCAGCGGCAACGCCCACAAGGAAACGATGCCTCCGAGACCGCCCGCCAGAACTACCAGTTCGCTCACCACTGCCGGCAGCACCAACACCATCAAGAAACGCGTGCAGATACAAGAGATATCCGTATAGCATTAGGGGTTGCCCCCAGAGGGCAACGCACGGACGAAGCGAGTGACCTTCGTGGACGCGGAGAAGGCCACCACGGAGTCCAGATTTTGAACGATTTGTCCCCTTGATCGATCGCTGGACAGTGCCGTTTAACGGGAATTTCTTATCGCGAACGTAACACGAATTCAACGGACGAAAAGGATTTGTAATAGATATTTTACAGTGTGCATTGTGCGTGAATTGTCGGATGTGATAGCCAACGTACAGACCGTACAGTCACGACAAGAGCGTCTTGGCTGTAGCCGTTACTATTGAAAATGGCCGATTATCGCCGACTGTTACTACTTACGGGTGCCGCGACGTGGCTGTTTATAACGCGGTCGCGCTACTGAACTGTTATTACCGCTAGATTGCGCCCGACTACTACTACTTAGGAAACTTTGTGACCGGTCCTTTCTACTGATAGAAATGTAAGATTGCACGTGGCCGTTATTTCTAATAGAGACGTGAATTGTGTACGTAGTTGCTACTTATAAAGAGACGGAATATTCTCTGTTGTTTTTGAGAAAGTGATTGCTAAAAGTACTCATCGTAACTCGTGGCTATATTACGTATGTATCAGGTGCTCAAAAGATATTTTACTCAAAGGACTTTTTTTTCGCAACTGAAGATATCGATACGTTTCCCAGCCGTTCAACTCGTCGGAATAAATCCTAATTCATTCAGAGACCGTGGCAAATAGGTGGCCTTAAGTATCACTACAGTAATGTAAAGGAAACGTGTTGATATTTTCGATATCATAGAAATGGGCGCCTGACGAGGAATTATCAAGACGAAATTATAATGAAATTCTCGCTGGAAAAAAAAACTCTAAATTGAATTCTCTAGTAAAGAGCAATTATACGTATAAGAAAAAATATCGTGCGGATCGACGCGCGGTAATCTATACGACGACGACGACAATGACGAATCCGATCTAAGAGATCTCGAAACGGAATCGGAATACCAAAGCCATGTACACGATCGCATTCCACCGTCTCGGCGACTGCTTTGTAAAGCATCGATTGGCCCGGAAGAGGCCACTCGATTCGAAGCGAATCAAACGGATCGGACGCGATAAGCGTCCCGTTATTTGCGAGCGAAACGAATACGGTGTGCGAAGGTATTATCCGTAAAGTGAAAGTGCACTCGTCGTTTCCGCCCTTCCGCGACACACAGCCAAGCTACATCCTTCGAAACGTGTAATTTCGATCCTGTCGAGGAGAACGGCTTAATAGCGCTCGCGAGTGCTCGCGAAAGTTTACTCGGGCGGAAAGCGCAATTCTCCAGCCGCGTTACCTGTCGTGCAAGTGCACAATCACGAGCGCGGCAACTCGACGGAGCAAAAGCCGTGAAACGGCATCGGGGACTACGACCGAAGTCGGGCGCGACGACTTTCGAGAGGGCCGACTCGATCTTCCGCTGAGTGTTCTTCTCGTAGAGAATATAGTCCGACAGTCATAAGTATCGTACCGCCACAAAATCGCGGCTAGAACTCCTTATCGTGATGACATATACACGCTCCGCCGTAAAACCATTTCCTCTCTCGCAACCCTCGTGACTTCGATTTGCGACTGCCAACGCATCTTGTATATTCTCCTTTACTTTGACATGCAAAGTACAAGTACTGGACAGTATTAACATCAAGGGAAAAAAAGTTAAATATCGATATATTGAACACATGTCTATATTTTTAATTAAAATGCATTTGAATTAATTAATACTATATTACAGAATTAAATGGATAGCGGCGTAATTTTTAATTTTAAGTAAATTTACTTATGTGTGTGAAAAGATAAAAATAAACTTGCTTGATGACCCTTTTGATTCTTTGAAGCTAAAATTCGTGGAATACATAATTTCTTAGTACGCGGCCTTTCTAAATTGAGATCATCGCCCAGATCAAATATCTGCTCAAAAAATGTAACGATAAAAAAAAAAGTAAATTTCTCTTAAAATAGAATTAAAACTGTCGACTTGTATAGAACTTTCTCTTCCTCTCTCTCTCTCTTTCACGACCAAATATCCTAAGACGTGATCGCGCTCGTGTTTGCAGAGATACATTTTGTCTTTGTAGAGAGTTCTTAATCCCGTATTAATATTCATGACCTGAGATCGCTGAGACCACTAGACTCCACGCAGATACTAAGTTTTGAAAGTCATCCCAGTTATTGTATATGCAACTAAATCGGTCCGCGCGCGAAAATGAAATGCGCTTCTCAGGATATAATGGCATGCGATGAATTGCGATAATATTCAACATAACGAAGATCAAGCACAGCAATATGAAAAGCGGGAAACATTACAAACACGATCACTAATAGGTTTTTACATGCTAAAGACGTTTCTATCGCGTTTATATCTTGATTCTTGAAATTGTGGTAAGATTGTAAACCTGAAATTTATTCGTACATAACGATAACAGGTAATATTTACGAGAACTGAAATTTTCTAACAACATTTAACTTGTTATCATTAGAAGAAGAAACCTCTTTTTCCATCTAGACTGAGTTTCAAAATCATTGAATATTGAGAGACTGTCTAAAGAAGTAAGATTCATCCAATTGATTACATACGACTCCTCGGCACATGAAACTATACATATGTATCAATACGATTAAGAACGTAAAGCTGTAATTAAGTACCATGTAGCGTAATATGCACAGGCTCGGTGTCGCGTAAAATCGTATTGCCGACTACTAGTTTTTAAGTACGTACATACGTCATTACGTGTAATTTTTCAAAGTAACTGTTCGCGGATGATATGACTCTTTAACACGTTGTGATACTTGCGTGAAGGTAGTATGTATTGACGCACGTAAAACGACAGTAAAAAAATTTAAATACGTGTTATAGTCTAGAGAAACCAATTTGTAAATTTCACTGTACAACAATAAATGCCAATTTATAAAAATACATGGCGGATCTTTGTCGATCATTCGTCGAGCAGCGGAGTTATGTAATTGTTTTGAACTTCGGATCAGCGTGAAATATTTAAAAAAGTATTAAAGATAAAACGCATTTAATCAAATAGAGACGAAGTTATATTTTCAAAGTACTTAAAACAATATACATTGAAAAGGAAAAGGAAATGTAACAAAAAGTTTAAATATGTCGTCTTCTTTCAAACAGAGAAAACAAAAGATGATTGCGAAACAGAAGTTTCTACAGTAAATTGCCAGGCGTAATTTAACGTTCCTTTTCTCTATATAGTTATCCTCTATGTTCGTTAATACATTGAAAATAGAGTGTAATGTACATTATGTAACTTTAAAGGTTAGGTCAAGCTAAATAAAAATCTTATTCGACAACTCTCTTCTTAGCTGGAACTGTATCGTGCGAGGGACTGTTACCTCTCTTTTTCGTGCCCCGCGCGCGACCTTTAAAAACAAAAAATTTCGTTAGAGTACTCGCTTCTTTAAAGCGCAAAATTATTTTGCGCTGTAATAAATAGTTCAGTTGTCTTGAAAGTTGAACTCAATGAAATCCGTATACAAAATTTATACGATTTCTCAGTATTAGCATGGCGAAAGCATCATTACAATATATTTGACGGTCATAACAATTGTAATATTTTAAAATTAACTCTTACCTTTCTTACCGCCTCGCTTGGCTTTGTTGTATTTGCTCTTTGAAGCCGCCATATCTTCCATCGCTTTAGTGAGGTACTTATCTTCCTCCTCACCCTCGAGGACTTTACAGGTAACTTCAGTCTCCTGGATTACCACCTTGAAACACAATAAACATGTTTCGCTCGATTATTGTAATTCCAAAACTCAGAGGAGCTATTACAGAGAAATTTGAACATTTTGCGAATATCTCTCTCACCTTGCCTTCGTTTGTCTTTTCCAACAAAGGCTTAGCAGCATTCTCTCCCTGCAGGCGCACCCAGCCCTCCGTATGCCCCCTTTGGAAGTCAATGTATGCAATATCAGCGTCGTATTTGTCTAAAGACTCTTTAACATCTTCCCTCGTACACGTCTTGGAAACACCAGAAAAGTAAATAATGGAACCTTTTGGCAATTTACTATCGGTTCCTGTAGAAACTTCCGTTTCGTCATCATCCTTTGTTTCCTCTGTCTAAAGAAAAATACATATTAAGTAAAGCGCAAGTGAAAGACATATTGAAAACGATAAAAATCGCAATTATCTTCTGTTTGCTTTGCATACTCACAGATTTCTTTGTTTTTTCAGCTTTCTTTTTTCTACGCTCCTCCTTCTCTAGTACTTTACTTGCATTATAATCCGCACTATAAAAATTAAATTAAAATTTTATACATATATCAAATCTATAAATTATGTATCTCTCTCTCCAGATAAATTTTTACTTACGCCCATTTCCTTATTAATTCAGTATCGTCGTATTTTATACACTCTATATTCATAAATGCCTGAGCGCCTTCTAACGACTCAAACTGAACAAAAATAGATCCTTTAAACTTAAAAACTTTATCTTTATCTTGATATTTTCTCATCTGCAAAATAAAAAAAATTGTAAATACTAAATATATTAAAATAATTGTTGATATATCAATAATATATAATAAATAATCCCAAATAGCTCAGTATAGTAAGAAATAAATAGCACAAAATTATACATTGACTACTATTCAGTCTTAAGTTTGTGCCCTTATTTTGCTGTGTTTATATCTTGATTTAAAATATAAATAAATGTTTCTATCTAATAAATTAATATTAGAAGGACGATTTGTTCGTTGCCCCAAAGATGTTATATTTATTTATTCTGCGGCAAGTATATTTACCACAATCGTTTCGAATGGCTTGTACGGTTTGAAAAAGATTTTCAATGTCTCGATAGTTATGTCAGTCAACGGAAAGCCTTTGACATAAACTGTTCGAGCCTCCTGAGCTTTCCTGTATCCCTCGTTATACTCTGGCAGGGGATGCTTCGGCGAGCGACGTATCTTTTTCTTGTCCTCAGATATCTCCATGAGATCGCTGGTTTCCAAGGCCTTTAGAATTACATTGACATCCTTGCTGAGAGCGGCCAGCATTTTGAAGTTTAGCATGATAGTCATTGGAATCCAGCCTTCCTCGAGTTTCGTCTGTTCAATGAGAAATTTATCCCTCTGCATGTTTACATTGCCGAAGTAGTACTGCAAAAAGAAATTAAACAAATAGAGAAACACCGCACAGATGGTTTCATGTGACTTTTTCTTCTTCTTCTATTAAGGGCTTCCGTTTCCACTAGAAACGATACAGCCTGTACTTAAGGTCGAGTAACAAAAAAGCTTGTGCGACAATAGATGATGCAACACTAACAGAGTACTGAGCCACAGACGTCCACCTCAGTCCGTGGCTCACAACGGAATCATGGTTTCATGTGAGAATAATTCGATTCAGTAATCGGCGAGTCTCAGTGAACTGAGTGAATTCACACCTTGACAGAAAAGCAGAAGCCAATCAGGTTGGTAGTTAATAGTTTTTGCTTTCTGCTTTTCTTGCTACGCAGTGCGAGTTCTGATTGACTTTTGCTTTTCTGTCAAGGTGTGAATTCGCCCTCAGGTTCGATCCTGATTCTCGACCCCTTGGTCTTTAGAGGAAACATTTAATTGCTTCCTTGATTATCGTCACAATTCAAAATCACTGGAGACGTGATTCAAGTTTAACAAACAACGTAAAAAAAAAGGAAGAATAAAAAATTGTTCCCTTTACGAGAAAGGGTACGAAATGTACCTCCACTTGTGCCTTAATCTTCGCCAAAAGTTCCTCGGACGGTTCCTCTGCCACATCTGTTCCGTTTGCCTTCGTATCTTCCTCCGTTTTTTCATCCTTAGCGTCAACGGTCGGCGCATCGTTACTAACCTCGGCGGCGGTATCGCCGTTCGAGTGGTCGTCGTCAACAACATTCGTCTCTTCCTTCGTCTCGTTCTCAGTCATGTCTATAATGTTTATATACTCTACTCGCGACAATTATACAGACGAGCGACGAAACGGCTACCGATACGCTTTATACGTTTCAAAGCGGCAACGACGACGAAGAATCGCCTTCCCACGCACGTGTTCCCTCGTTCAAGCCGCAAACGGAAATGACGCCTAATTTAATAAGAAAGGCACAGTGCATACACGATTCGTATTCGGGCGTTTTTACGGCCGATTTCCAACTGGCGAATACCTCACTAGGAAACGTCCGCCAATAGCCGCGTTCGCTCGAGCGCTCATGCGCGGCGCTAGTGACTTTTACAAGTGTCACTACTTCCTTAGGGAAAGATTGCACGCGATATCACTGCCCTGCTGCTGCCAGCGAGACTGCAAAAATCGCTATGCAAAAAAACACCCAAATAAAGGAGCTCCGAAGTGCTGCAAAGGTGTTTTGACCGATGGAATAGGATTCGAGCGGGCGTTCCGTCAAAGAGGTAAACATTAATACCGGACGTTTTATCGATCATGTGACATTATATCTTTAATCATTGAACAACTCCAGGTGTAGCGATTCTTTATTCTGCACAGAGACAAGTGCAGAGTAATGCAGGTGACCGAATACGCTATATTCGTCACACATGGTAAACAAAAAACAAATCGGTGCGTGGCTCGCTGTCGAGGGTTGCCGTAAGATGTAAATAATTCCGGCCGAGATCGACGACTTGTAAATTAATATGGATGACGACCCGCGACTGTCGCACTATGTATACATTTATATGGCCAACAGGGACAAACCGTTGAAATTTGCATTTATCGTCGGTGAAACCATCGAGTATCTGTGCATAAAGGTGCGGTTGATTCTTTCTCCTTCAGCTGAACGAAACAGAATGGAATGCATATGTTCTTTGCAACAAAAATGAACGTGTCTGAGTTGACGATTTTCATGTCAAAGCGTCGTCGTGTTGTTTTTGTTAAATATGCCAAGTCATATTCATTAAGCGCAATTGCAACAACGTTCATTTTTGCATCGCAACAATAAATCAGCTTGTCAGAATTTGTTTATTGATCAGTGCACCAAAGGCCACTGGCTGAATCTCAGTAGAAGTCCAAATCAGTTTTTTAAATCTCAATCACAGTATAGTTATTTGTACTATAAAATTTGATTTTTGTCGCACGGATAATTGCACCCCAGACTTGCACTAGTCATCGAATTGTAACAGTTGTTATACTAGTCAAACAAATAAGTTTGTTAAATTATATTATTTATTTGATCTTTGTGTAAAATATCTTAATATTAACTCTTATTAATAAATCTAAATTATCGAATTATTAATTTTTTATTTTGTCAAATACGTGAGATATCTCACCTCTTTTATTGTTTCTGTAAAATGCCATAAATTTATTTTTACATAATTTATCATATATTTGAATCAATTTTTATTATCCTTTCATGCAAAGCAATCAAATTTTCGGAGGAATCAAAACTATTTAATTTTTAGATATGCAATGCCATCAATATAAGCCCTTTAGCACGACATCTGTTCGCGTTGCAAAGTTTCTCTTCAAAACTATGGTTCCCTTGCGGTCACGTACTGGAGGAAGACTCGGAGAAGTACAGATTCAACTTCCGCCTGAGATTCAAGCCATCCAGTATGGACAGATTAAGAGAAATAGATTTAAATGCATATAATTATTACTTCGAACAAGTTCGCAAGGATGTGTTGGATAATAAAGTACCTGACATTGTTTACGAGAAGCATAAGCATGAATTAATTGGCCTAGGAGTTAGCGATATGTATAGGTAAGATACAATACAAGTCATTTTTTCCTGATAAAACGATACAGAATAAAGCAGTGTCTACAACTGTAACTTAAGATTTAAGAAAATTAACCAATCACAGTCGATTATTCATCTTACGTAAGAAGAATAATCGATAATGATTGTCAATTTTCTTATATCTTAAGTCTCATTGTAGACGCCGTTTAAACGATTGCGTTTCTTATAAGAATTTCTCGCAAATTTGCTGTAGCTTTATTTAATATAGTCATTAAGTTGCACGATGTTTATAGTAAATTTATTCGTTGCAGGGTAATGCTTGAAGAAGAACTCCCACGAGAAATAGTGGAATCGGAATATAAGAAATATATACCTAAGGAATGCATAAAAAGGCATGCCTTTTTCATAAGGAAACCTATTCACAATGCACTCACAAAGTTATCTGGATACGACGCCGCATACGTCAAGGAGCAGTATTTGAAGCAGTTCGAACGCATGGCTCCGAATTATCCGTACGAGGAATACACATCGCTGATGGATAAAGATGTTCCTAATCTAAAAGCTAAAGTCTTACTTAGGGTTACCATAGAGGAAGTGAAATACTGCGAGATTGACATTGGTACATGGAAAACGATTTGCAGGATAGAAGACATTTCCACTCTTTCTATAGGGTAATGAAATATATACACATATATTTCAACGTGTTGACCCCTCTTCTTCAAACGCGCACAATTTGAAAACAAAAATTAAAGTCTCATTTTCGTAACCCACATAAATTAGAGTATATTAAAAATAATGAATTATATACTTATCGATCACATTTTTATTCTTCAGAAAGAACAACACTGTGTTAATTGGGAGAAGGACTGGCATACCACTGTGCGCACAATTTGACACAAAAACGATCCTACTGTCGTTCGTGTCCGCACTGGACGGATATTACCGCTTATCCGTCAAGTGGAATTTCAATCTCTGCAGTGGTGACGCTAGCATCATCACGCCTTCTTTAGAGAGACTACAAAAGTTGAGGTGCCATGGACCAGTTGGGTAAGGGAATTTCATGAGATAACGCAAAATTATAATCCCGCGTGTATAATACCTACAAAGAATCTTCGAAAATGTGTTTCAGAAAGGATTTCTCGTACACGAAGCTCAAAGAAAAATGTGCCAACGAGCCGGGAAGTTACATACTGCGCGAGAGTGAAATCGAGTACTGCGTTTACTACATCGACGTTTACAACAAGGACGGAACTATATCCTCGCAACGAGTGGTAGAGACTAAACCCGACAAGTTTGCAATGTCGAACAGTTCTCGGGTGTACGAATCCTTGAGGCACTTAATTTCTTCATTCCAAAATCCCAGTGAAACAATATACCTTGGAAAGTGTTTGGGATTTTCGGAATACGGTACATATATCAGTTATATTATGAATTAAACATATATATTTTTCTAAAGAAAAAAAAAACATTCTAAAGAGATCGATATTTTAGTTTTCCATTTATATAGAGAGAACTTTTTGTTTTCTAGACAAGTCGAAATTATTACTTTGCGCTACGGAAAACGTCGTGAACGAAGTAGCGGCAGACGAGGAGATAATCAGCACTCTACTGCAATGTGGACCGCGATGCGTACCGTGGAATGAGCTGCAGGTATACAAAGCGATCGCGAAGAGCGATGAGGATCTGCCTTCTTCCACCACAATGACGAGTTTGCATCGAGCTATATGGCGAGTTGCCAAGGGCAAGAAACTCGAAGTTATGACGAAGATACTGACGGAGGAGAATTATACCAAAGAATTTTTAGAATTGGTTGGCAAGTGGAGCCAGTTGCGGTCGGGAGCTCTAGTTAGGTGAATTATCAGAAATCTTTCGTGAAAGGTATTGGATATTGGAGCGCGAATGTATGGAAATATATTCTTCGCTCTTTAGATTGTACGGCATAACCGTGGCCCCGACGATCGGAATGCTGCTCGAGCTGGTGAATTTGGGCCCGCTGGACAAGTACCTGTGCAGCAACAGTAAGTCAGTATTAACGGTCGACATGGTGGAAGCCACCGTCTGTCTGGCAACAGCTCTGTGGCACTTGGTAAATTTCCCCAGATATATTATCCTGTGCGTTATATCTTAGTGTTGATATCTTAAACATGCAAGAATATGTAGGAGGAGAATCGTGTGATTCATGGGAATATAAGATGCCGGAATGTGCTCCTACATGCGCATACAGAGAACAGCTTCATTGTCAAGTTGGGTGATCCCGGTCTCTTCACCTACACCGAGGACGAGTAAGTCAAGAAATAAGAATCTTGTTTAATTACGTTTTATTTCGTTTTTTTTTTTTCAAATGTAACAGGGATTCACGATTTTTTTTTCGTTCTTTTTGCGCAGCATACATTGGATACCGCCGGAATGTTACACGGATTTCTCATCCGCAAAATACAGCCTTCAAGCGGATATATGGGCGCTGGCGACAACTATTTGGGAGATATTTTCCAGAGGAGCTCCCTTACCTAAATATCACAACACTCATACTGTTAAAATGGTATATCTATTGCGAACAAATTCTTAAATTATGTCATTTCTTTACGCTGATCTATTTGATTATAAACTCTGACTAATGTGATTAAATGGTGTTGTTTTACAGTATTATATACGTGAAAACCGATTGCCACCTCCTAAGGATTGTCCAAACGAGATCTATAAGTTAATGTTGGAATGCTGGGGCAAAAATAATTCCATCATATCAAGAAAACAGCCTCAGGCTATCATGCGGGATATCAATCAGATTCTATACGAAGTATACAATGCTCGTAGAACTCATACTTATGCTACCATATGCCCCAAGCTATTCAGAGAGCCCGATGGAAACAACGACGAGAATGGTAGTATTTATACAGAAGGCAGCAAATCGAATAGTGAATCGCAAACGAGTTTGGTCACTGATTACACCAGTATTACTTGGAACGATCACAGTGAGTCGATTTAAATCTATTGAACTGTAAAAATAATTGACATTATTCTTGATCAGTTTTGCTGTTACATAATAGATATGTGACCGAATTGTCGCGTTTTTAGACGATACAAAAGCTGTGATCTCAACTTCTTCATTATAACACACACGGAGAGAATTTCCTTTTAAAATTTATCCTGAAAAATCGCGTTAATCACGGGACAACATAGTATTTCGACAAATTTTACTGTGCACTACAATAAATTTGTTGTAGTATTATTAAAAAAAGGTGAAAATCACATAAAATTCATCGAAATACTATGTTGTCCTACGATTAACGTGAATTTCAGAGTAAATTTTAAAATAAAATTCTCTCCGTGCAGAGTTTATAAATAATAAAATTTAATTATGATTGATACAAGAGGAAGATTAAACTTTAATTCTTTTCTTTTAAAGGTACAGAGCAGCTAATCAGCTATCAGAATCAAGATAGCAACACAGACGAATTGTCGTTTTATCTACGTTGGCTAAACAGCGAACTGTACAAAATGCCGATTGCGGGTAACGGTAGCGATGGCCCGAGCCGCGAAGATAGCTCGGGCAAGACCAACAAAAGCAAGATCAACGACAAGGCTTGCAACAGCAAAGGTGGCTCCGAATGGCAGCGTACTTATGAGATAAATGAAAACTTGGATGTGATCCTGCAAGGACGCATAGGCGAGGGCTTTTACGGCGAAGTGTATAAGGGTACGCTCAGGAGGCGCAACGGTAAGGAAATCGACTCGGAGCAGGATGTAGCCGTCAAGAAGCTCAAGACGCAGGAGGACTCCGAAAACGTGCTCGACTTCGAGAGGGAAATTAAAATCATGGAGGTGAATCAATTGTTTTGAGAATCAATTATTTCACCAAGAATCACGTTGTATAAGATTTGTAAGTTAACTACATTGTTTTCTTTTCTTGTTTATCTTCAGAGGCTCAATCATCCAAACATCGTGAAAATTTTGTGCTCAGTGGACCGAATCCTGGTGATGGAATTCATCCAGTACGGCTCGCTGCTGAGTTATCTAAGCTCGCATCGATTTAGCCTCGCATACAAAACACTGTTAGGCTTCGCCCTGGATATCGTCGCGGGCATGGAGTACCTCGGTAGTATGAACATTGTTCACCGAGATCTAGCAGCGAGAAATATCCTAGTAGCGAACGAGGATCGAGTGAAGATCAGCGACTTCGGTCTCGCGCAAGTGATAGCTGCGAGTGATTATTATGTATTTAAAACCCTTCGTAATATTCCGATTAAATGGTAAGTATTGCAAATGAATATCATTCTCCCCCTTTTTTTTTTAATATTTCGACAATAGTAAAACAAAGCAACTTTTCACACTTGAAAAGAATGTAATATTTTAAAATTTTCTTCTCGCAAACTCTCCTAGTAATCCTAAGATTATTTCTTCGTACATCAGACGAAGTAAACGTTTTCCTCAGGTACGCACCGGAGAGCTTGAGGCATAACAAATTCTCAACTCGTTCGGACGTGTGGTCATTCGGCGTGACGATGTACGAGGTTTTCAGCTACGGCGTCGACCCGCAACTGTCGGTCAGAATGAGTGAGAAAGAGATCCTAATGACGACTATAACGGACCTGCTGAACGCGTTGGAACGTGGCCACCGTCTTCCTTGCCCAGACAACTGTCCACAGGAAATCCACAGAAAACTGATGTTATCGTGCTGGCAATTGAACAGCCATGAGAGACCGGTCTTCGCTACTCTACGCGAAGACATCGAGCAGCTACTCTGTAATTATTAGAATATTTCGCGACTCCGTGCGAACAGTCGGTTATTTTAAAAATACATGACGTATCCCACTCGTGATTCTCACATCAATGGAAGATTCTTTGACGAGTCTAATAGTTAATTTATTTTTCGCAAGACGCGAAATTTTCATTCCTTTACAAGATCTCAGTGGAGAATTATGTTATAGGTCAACTCTATTTTTATATTTTTAAACGGGTGTATTTTAGGGAAAAATATTCTTGTATAAAAATTTTATTTAGAAAAAAAAATAGGAAATCAAGGAATCTGTCATTGGAGAATTAACAATCTTTCCGATCTTCGCATCTTGTATAGAAGAGATATATCTAGTCGAAGATATCGTCGCCATTTTATTATAATATGTACTGTGTGAAATATAGTATTAAGTACAGTATTAATTTATTGTTCCCGAAATGGCTTACAAATATACCTCACTTTCCTTTTACTCACAATTTTCGGCTCTCCAATCAACACCCCATAAAGCCCGAGGCACAGAACGAGGGTCGTGATCAAATCGCGGACTCGTTGACTACGATTGCACTTGCATCACGCATCACTTATATCGCTTGAAATATTTCTTCATAATTGCATGCAAGTCGTCTTGTTATTTCGGAAATATAACGAAGTATCCAACTCATAATTCTTACTACGAAGGAAGATTCACACTGATGCTATGAATTTTATTTTTAAATAAACTTACATTTACATCTTAAAAAGAAAGACTGTTTCTGACGACGCATGTTTCTTAAAAAAGACGTATCGACGATATTGTATTGTGTGAAGTTAATATAAATGCCGCGTATTTTTTTTTTTTTTTTTTTTTTTTCATGTCATCTCATCCCCAGCTTTTTCCGTAATAATCGAAAAATTGAAGCGACAAAAATTACCTACGAAATATAGCGAAACAATCGTGCGTGAAAAAAAAAGACTAAAGGTAAATTCCATTTGCAGACCGCACCGATGGTTTCTTTCCCACGTTATTACGCGAATATTGTATGCGCCCTGTCGATCAATTCTCCCGACACCTTTGAGAAATTTTCGCTTTCGCGTGAAATGCGTGCACTTCGCTACAATTTACCCGATAATGTCGTAAAGACTAAGGGGGAAAAAAATAAGAAATGTGAAATAATCAAATGGACCTTGAAGAAAGAGGGGAAATGACTATAATAATCAAGTGTAAGAATCGGCTCGCATCTACAGTCAGTTCTTTTGAGATCTTCAAAGCAAATGGAACATTCCGAAGAGCATTACTATAAATTCAATCGATTTCTTCTATCGGTTAGCGGACTATGGCCTTATCAAAGCAATTGGAGCGCTCGTTTAATGAGAGTTGTTATCTCGCTTTTCATGCTGTCGTCTGCATTCTTTCAGGTAACCGTCACTTTAGAAAATAGTTTTCTTTTCAATTAAATATTAAATATTTTTCGAACTAAATTGAAAAATACCACACACATATAATATTAAAATACAAATAGGATAATATAAACTCAGTAACCAAATATCAATTTTATCGAAACTAATAACGACAGGATTTTATGCGAGAAATTTAATCAAATAATCCGTGTGTTTCGGGTAATTATTCTCGATAAAATTATATCTATTTTTTTTTTCGCTTTTATCAAGGGTTAATGTTTTCAGATCGCGAGCATGTTTACATATGACGTCACTATGGATTTTGTAATAGAGGGGCTGCCATCGATTATACTTACACTAGGTAATCTGAGCAACTTGTACGCGCGTATCATACACATTGCCAAAGTAAGTAGATCTGCATAATTTGCGTTTCTGGCAATTTAAATTCAATAGAACATATCTTTTGTCTGTAATATGCAAAAATCTAAGCTGGAACTAATTTTTAGATAAATAGAAAAAATTATTATTATATGTATATACAAATTTTATTCTAGTTTATTAAATCATTATTCAGATTATTTAGTTCCTAATTCCTCGTTAATTAAGATATTGACTTGTCGTTGTCTTTTTTATCACGCATTTATCATCGTGGATAATTTCTATGAGCAATAAGAGATAAAAATAAAATGAAGTAGACGCTACAAAATAAAAATTATGTCATAGGCAAAATATGTAATATTATTTTAGTGAATCATTTAGAATTAAAATTACACATTATAATTATGCCAATATATCAGTGCTGAATTCATAAACATTCACTGACTTAAAAAAAAAGATCATTCATTTATCGTTTTAATGTCTTTTAGTATAGAGAATTATTCGATCGTATATCGAAAGACTGGGCGTTGCAAAAAACGTACGATGAGATCAAGATTATGCACGAGCATGCTGAAATCTCAAAATTATTCACATTCTGTTATATGAGTAAGAGAAACATTAAACGCTTTGTCTACAAAAGAAAAAGACAGGTATCTCTGCCTGTGAGATCGAGACTGTATTTCTGTGTATAAGATTGCGGCAACCATGTTTTTCATTACAAGTATCAATATTTATCGTACACATAACTTTCAATGAGTAACATGCGACATTTCTTCTATAGCCAATTACAATTTCACCTTTACAAAACATTTATTATAATTGCAAGTCAGTAAATTAAATGGATGCGAAATTTTCTAAGCATAACTGATTTGATTTGGTGCTGAATTATTTTAATCCTTCTCCAAATCTTCATATTCATTCAACTTTCATATAAGTCGACCTTTATTATTTCTTCTATACACATACGCGTAGCTCTGTCGTTAAAAATTATATTATTTACGATTACCGAATTTTTCAGTCCTGACGTATATAAACGTAGTGGGATACAACATATGGCTGTTTGTACCGGAAATTCTTGACCTTGTATCGCCCATGAATGAGTCTCGCCCGCGGAGGCGACCCTTTAATGCTGAATTTTTTGTCGATGAAGAGCAGTATTTTTACTACATTCGTTGCCACATAAGTCTCGTGATTGTTATCATACCTGTAATTTATGTCTCCAGTTCCACTTTATTTTTGACTCTCACGCAACACGCCTGCGGAATGTGCGAGTTGCTGGGGTAAGAAACCACTCCTCGCGCAATTCACTATAATTTTCTGCGAAAGAGCAGACGACTCTAAGATTCCTAGAAAACGGAACGTCTATCAGTTCTAAATTGATATATCAATTCTCAAGTTTTGTGCGACAGTTTTTTTTTATTTAGAAAAAATAATTTCCTTCTCACGTACATCTTAAAAAATTTGTTTGTTATTTTTCTTCTATATGTTCTATATGTTTTACATGAATAGTAAACAGTTTCGTCTTTTCTTCCGCTCATTGCAAAACGAATATCGTTCGAGCGAAGCCAGTCATATGATGATATGTTGACGATATAATTTCGGCAGGTATCGCGCGGAGCATTTATTTCGCGTTGTTAAAAACAGGGCCGGACGCGATTTAATTCAGAGGTCAAAAATAAGTTGCAGGAACATAGCCGTTTTTGTACAGCTGCATTACAACATTACACAGTTTGTACTTTTATTTAATATACACGATCTCTAATTCCCCATTCAACGTTATTCCACTTTTTATGAGTGTAATCTATATAATGAAGCAGAAGGTTGTGTTTTATAAGGAAAATTGAAAGGTAACAACAATGGTAACTTAAACAATGCTACTTTCAGGCATTACTTTATATGATTTCAATAAGAATTTATTATTAAATCAACTAATATAAATATATACACAGATAAATCTGACACACAAATATAAAAACTTTAATAAAAATTTTATCGCGTCTCTCTCTAGATAATATTTATATATTGATTATAATCACAGAAATATAAATTTTCTTGCGTGTGTAAAGTCAGCACCCCAATAAAATTCGTAATAATAGTTCTGATTAGAGTTCCCGTCTCATAGATTAGAGTTTATATCCCTACAGTTTATAACAAGTGTTCTGCTTAATAACAATTTTTAATTTTAATTTAAAAAAATGTGCTAACTTTTTATCAAAATTCGTGATCGAATAATTTTGAGCAGCTTGTTATAAACTTTAGGAACTTTTCGTCTCTTCAAAATAAAGCGGCAACTCTAATCAGAACTATGAAATTTTATTGTTGGGGTGCCAACTTCACGCACGCAATTTTCTTATTATTTCTCTGTCGGCAAAAACAACCTTATAATTATAAAATTGTGCACCGTCAAATTTCCTATAGTAAATGTACGTTGACATACGTATTAACTTTCTTACAAGCAAAAAATATTCTTCACCTTATTGTCTATAACAAGTATGACTTTTTTTTACGTTACAAGATTCGTTGATTTAATCGAAAATTGTCACACGGTACCGTTTCTATTGGATATCATAGGCGTAATAATTTTGATGAGTCTTACGTTAATCCAGGTACGTTGCTAGCAAAAATGTGTTGAGCGTCTGCAAGACGCTGGTGTCGAGAAATATTGAAATAACGTCTTTCAGGTATTAACAATTTCTGGAATTGAGGGAGCTATCAGATCTATCGGTATCTTAGGTGTAGCGCTGTGTTATGTATTTATATCTTGTTACATGGGGCAGAAAGTCACGGATGTGAGTTCGAGTGTATGTGAAAAAATGTAAGTACATGTAATAGATTTTTTTTCACTAAAATCTTTAAAAATATATCTGACATGATAGTATCCGAAATGCTACTAATATCAACCTTTATCTATTCGAAATAGTGAAAAAAATTAAAATAAAATATATTGAAAGGAAAATTCCCCAAATTTGCGTATTGTTTTATCCGAAAATATAAATCAAATAATTTTAAATGTATTATTAAAACATTACATACCTATTTGCGCGTGAATTGTAAGTTTACGAGACAAGCGAGATAACGTAAATAAAATATAACATTTTTTCAAATCGTAATTTTGAAAAGGGAAAGAAAAAAAAACACTGAAACATTAATATAATTTGCTATATTAATTATATTTGCTATATTAACACTGAGACATTAATATAATTTGCTATATTAATATTTGCTATATTTACTTATCACATTAAAGAAGGCAAGGGAGATTATTTCTTTACTTGATAATTCCTGAATTTGATCCTGATTGTTTCTCTAATTGCATCAAAGAAAAAAATTGGCTTTGCAGATTCAACTCTTTGTGGTACGACGCAGTTCTTTCAGAGCAAAAGGCATTGTTAATGATAATGATGCGACGCTATCATCCGTTCATCTTGACCGCCTGTAAATTTTACGTGATGTCTTTGCAGAACTTCGGAATGGTAAGAAAAAAAAGTACGCCGTATTCCGGAATATGCGTATAATAACGATGAGTAAAAATAAGTATGTATTTTCCGAAGATACTTCAAACAACTATCTCCTATTGCATGTTCATCAGACAAGTCTGAATATGTTTCTTATCAAGTTGCAAGCGTAGAAGTAACGTAGAAAATTCGCGGGAATGTTAGACGTGTACTAATCTCCTTAGGATCATGTCGAAAATTCTTCTTTGTAAAAAGAGGAATCTGTTGATGTGGTTTACAGGTAAGTGAAATATGCACAGTGAACGTGGTATAATAAATAAAAAATAGCACAACTCATGCATGTAAATTCTTTGTAGAATAGCAGAATATTTTTTGGAGTATTTAAGATAGTGTTACAGTATTTTAATGACTCTTATTTATGCAAGAAAAAAATTCAATTTCTTATCTAATAATAAATATCTGTCTATTTATGTACCTATAATGTTGTATAGAAATTCTTCTTTCAAAAATATTTTTAAAATACTTGTAAACAAAGTATTTTAAAAAGGAGTCCATCGTTGAAATTGAAAATGATATATTTTCTGTATAAAAGAAATATAAGACAGTATTACAGTATTTTATGATTCTTATTTATGCAAAAAAAAATTCAATTTCTGATCTAAAAATAAATATCTATATAATAAAATAATAAATCTCTATCTACTTCTGTACCTGTAATGTTGTCCAGAAATTCTTCTTTCAAAAATATTTTTGAAAAATACTTGTAAACAAAGTATTTCCAAAAGGAGTCCATCGTTCAAATTGAAAATGATATATTTTCTGTAGAAAAAATGTAATTCGACAGTTTGATCATCGTTTGTTATGTACTGTGCACAATAGAGAGCTCAAATATTGAAGTGTTTTATCTCGGACTTCCTTTCACTCATCGTCCGCTCCCTCTGCCTCTAAATAATCGAAAAATAATTGCGGTATCGCCGTAGTGGAAATAATCGCGAGTATGAAAAAAAACTAACACGATGGATGGAAAACTGCCTGAAGACAATTTTTGTTCTCGCCGACCACCGGATGTTTCCCACGTTATTACCCGAACATTGTATTATACGCGCGCTACCGATCGATCCCCCTCGACGCTTCTGAAAAATTCGCACTTCCGCGCTAAACGCGTGCATTTTTCTTTAATGTAATTCACCGGATAATGAAGATAAAAGAAAAATTAGAGGTGGAAAAAATTGAGCGGACCTTAAGGAAAAAAAAAAAGATGAGATAGCAATAAAATAATAATCGACGAACTCTTGCTTCTACGGTCAGTCTGTCCGAGAATTTCGAAGCAAATGGAACATCCCGAAGAGCATTATTACAAACTAAATCGATTTGTCCTAACGCTTTGCGGATTATGGCCCTATCAAAGCAAATGGAGCGCTTGTTTAGGGAGGGCTATTGTCACTATTGTATTGCTGTCATCTATAATTTTTCAGGTAATTACGATATTAAAAAATAAGTTTCTCTTCAATTAAATAATTTAAACGATTTTTTTTCAAAATTTGATTACATTAAATGTTAGACATTTACTAGATTTAAAAAAATACTATACAACATTATAATTATTTCATCAAAGTATATATATATATAAAGTATATATATAGATGTATATTTATATTTCTACCTAGACTGTATTAACAATCAAAATTATATACATTTAAAAGCGATCCTAAATAAGATGTTTTAAAGATATCTGAAGACAAAGATATCTCAAAGATGCTATGCAGAGATCTTTCTGATAATTCTATATAAAATATAAAATTCTTTAAAGTTTTAAAATATTACTCCAACTTATTTCTATAACTTATAATTCAACTTCAAGATATCAATCAATGATATGTAGTATCTTCTGAAAATATATTTACCTTTGTTCTTATCTAGAGTTAATAACGTATCCACGTTTCCAGCTATCGAGCATTTTTACGTCTAATATCACCGCGGACTTCATGGTCGATGTGATACCAGCACTTTTACCTACAATAGGTAGCCTGAGCCACGTGTACGCCCGTGTCAGACATGTAGACAAAGTAAGTTCTCGGTCGGTTATTATTTAGATTCTTAATAAATTCAACACAGAATGTATTGCTTTCATCTTTAGTATATAAACATTTAGATTAAAAAAATTTGCGTGAAAGAATCGCTTCTACAATTTACATGTGTGTATCTATACAGTTAATCTAATCTTAAATTATATGTCTGATATTATCATTTTTATCGCTCAAAGCTATGAATAATTTTTATATACAACAAAATTTATTTTTATTTCATCTGTGATAAAATAAAAATAAATCGTTCGTAAATATATAGAAATATTATTTATAAATCTCTTGGAATTTATATTAAATTATATAATATATTTATTTATTTTAAATTAAATTGCATGATCATGTTAACACACTGATTGAGAGTCTAATAAATAAATACATTAATCAATAATTATTTTCAAGTATTATCTTCTTGTTATTATTTTTACAAGTCGTAATTTATTGACTATTCATAGCTCATTATTTTTATTTATTTTTAGCTTAGGGATCTACTAAAACGTATACGGAACGATTGGAAATTACGAAAAACACGTTACGAGCTCAGCCTCATGCACGAGCATGCCGAGGCTTCGAGATTATTTTCATTATTCTATTTCAGTAAGAAAAACATTAAATTTCGCTTTATCCAAGGAAAAAGATGTGCCTTTCTATCTGTAAAACCGACATTGTATTTCTGTGTGTAAAATCAATCGTGCTCTCTCTTTCTTTTCATTACCAGCATCGAATGTATTGTCCATCGTATTATTTTCAACGAGTAGCGCGCGACATTTCTATTAACGATTCATATATAATCATAATTTTATTTTTTAAATGCGTTTGTTATAATGCGCTGTCATCAAATTAAATGAATGTGGAATTTTCGAAGAATGAATGGACTCATTGCTCATATTTTCCACACTTTTTCCCTAAACATCTCCCAATGTTTTCCTCATATCACGTATTAATATATTTTTATTAAGCAGAATTTTTTGAGTGCCTGCAGCAGAATATAATAGAATAAATAATACTAAAAACTGAATTCTTTTTTGGGCATTGAATGTGTTGGTATCTTGAAGGTATAATCTTACTATTATAGAAAAGCAAAAGATTACAGTAGCCTCGCCATTACTGTGTTCAAAATTTATAATTTTTTAAATATAGACTATTAATAAGATTGTAATTTTTTCAGAAATTTACAACTATCGAATTTTTCAGTTCTGCAGTATATAATCGCGATAGGGTACAACACATGGCTGTTCCTGCCGGATATTCTCGACGCTATATCACCCATGAATGAGTCCCGTCCGCGAATACAGCCTTTTAAAGCTGAGTTCTTTATCGATGAGGAACGATACTCTTCCCTCACTCGATCCCACACATGCATGGTGATATTTATAGTACCAATGATCTTACTTGCCAATTCCACTCTGTTTATGCTTCTTTCGCAACATGCTTGCGGAATGTGCGAGATGCTGGGGTAAGAAATTGCTCCTCGCAATTATTTGCGAAAATTTGCAGACGACTCGTAAAAAGTAGAGCGCGCAGCTGATCCATTAACTTTTAAGTCTGGGTGCAGATTTGCACGTGATAAAAATAATTTTTTTTTCATTCAAAAAATATTGTTTTCACGTTTTTAAAAATTTTCATCGTAGTATTCTCTCTCTACTTTTTTCCTTAGTAATAATCGATCATTTCGTCCGCTTATTATAACACCATTTGAAATCAGTTCTATAGGGAAGAATAACGCATTCGTGATAATTTCGGCAGGTATCGCGCGGAACGCTTATTTTACGATGAAAGTGCGACGGGGTGCGATTTAATACAGTCAAAAATAAGCCACGGAAACGTAGCTGTTTTTATACGACTGCATTACAACATTATACAGTTCGTACTTTTATACGCACAAAACATGCGATATCTATTAAATCCGTTTAGTCCAACTTATCGAGTATTTTACGGAGAATGTTATTGTTAGCATGCAAAGTCGAAAAATAATGATGGGTAATTAAATGACGCTGTTTCCACGTTTGATACAATTTGATTAACAGAAAATTGTCAGTGTTAAATTAAATAATATATTTTAATAGATATTTTTGCACTTTTTAATATGTATCCATAAATTATTGCATATTTATAAATTATAATTGAGCATTATAATTTGCAATTGTAAAGATACGAAGGAATTTGATTATTATTTTTGTATCAATTAAAACGGTTTTCTACCTAAAAAAAATCAAATATTAGCGATAACATTATAAAAATTATAAACTACAAAAATGTACATTGAAATCGTAACTTATAAGCAACTTGTTTTTATGTACAAAAAAACATTATTTCCTTCATCTCACAGTTTCCATTAACATATATGACCTTTTACATTGCAAGATTCATTGGTATGATTGAAATTTATCACACAGTACCGTTTTTATTGGACGTCCTAGGATTCGTGCTTTCGGTGAGCCTTGCGTTAGCGCAGGTACGTAGTAAAGAAAACACGTTGAGCGTATCATGTCAAAATGTAAAAAACAAAATCTTTCAGATGCTAACCATTGCCGGCGATATTGAACGAGCCTTCAGATCTACCTCTGTCTCTGTTGTATCATTGATGTATCTATTCATATTTAATTACATGGGACAAAGAATCACGGATGCGAGCTCAAGCATATGCGAGAAGGTGTGAGTAATGTACTTTCTTTTTTAATAATAAATATATTTGAACAGTCGCGCGCTGGCAACAAGATTTAGAACGAGAAGAGAAAATTAAAGTAAGCAAAAGAAAGAAAAAATCTCTCTCTCTCTCTCTCTCTCTCTCTCTCTCTCTCTATATATATATATATATATATATATATATATATATATATATATGTTTGTTCTTCACGCATCGATTTACATTTATTCAAAAATAACCGCTGCATAATTATAAAGGTGCCACCAAATATGTTTGCAAAAACAAAAATATTATAAATAATATTGTAACATAATTTTAAAGTTTTATACTATTTTTTTTAAATAACATTCGTTTAAAAAAATTATGTTTACGATTCTTCATAAATTTTAAGATAAATTCGATATCTCCCTTACTTCATTATTATATGTATATTATTGTATTATTGCATTATTACATTAATATTAATCATTAAAATAACATTTATTTCTAAAATAAGATATTTGATTTCATATAGGTATAATTCTGCGTGGTATAATGCAGACCTTTCAGAGCAGAAATTATTATTGTTAATAATGAAACGACGCTTCCACCCGCTCATCCTGACTGCGTGTAGGTTTTATATCATGTCCTTGCAGAATTTCGGAAAGGTAAGGAAAAATACGTCGTAATATAACATATCGGTATGCGGAAATTGATGACGATAGACAAAGAATGTTTATTCCTTTAAGATACTTCAAACGACGATTTCCTACTGCATGTTCATGAGACAACTCTGAGGATACTTCCATCAGTCGTAAAAGCAGAAATAAGAATAAAAAATGTAGCCTTTTTAGCACGTAGTCTATGTCAGTCTACGTTAATCTAGGAAAGAACACAATTAGTGATCTTGTGTTTAACGCCACGTTGAAAATTGTTGTTCTCCGTGTAAAAAGGAAAATTTATTAGTGCGTTTGGCAGGTAAATGTACGCAGAAGGATACACAGAAAGAAAAATTTTTGGTATTTGGTATCAACTATAATTACAAAGTACTATAATTATGATTATTATTACTCTAATATTAATAACAATAATTATATTGTATAGTAAGTTTTAATATCAACTATATATATAGAGATTGATAAAACTATATATACATATATATAATTATTATTACCAACATTATAGTAGTAATAATCATAGTTGTACTTTGTAATTGTAGTTCCAAATACCAAAAATTTTTCTCTCAGTGTACAATATAATAAACAAAATTTATAAACCTTTCTTTTTTTAGAAGGCCAGATCAAAATACTCAAGAAACCGTTGAAGAAATATTAACTAAAAAACGCAGAGATGAATTAACTGAAGTGTTTTGCTCTAATATATCGTAGTAATAAAAAATAACTCTAAAATTATTCACGAATATAATGATCCTGAGCGATATTTAGATGGTCGTAAATCAAACTGCGTATTCTGATTCATTTAGCGAAATCGGCGAATTCATTCGCGCGAAGTTAAATAATGCACATGCAGAATCCTTCACAACTCGCGTGTCGACTACGAGGCCCCGTGAGCCCTCGCGATGCACCAGCTCGGCGAAAAGTCGGCCGTAAGTCGCGAAGTGGAGTCAGGACGGGGCGAGGACCGGCGCGTTCGTGGAAGCCGGTTTAATAACATTAATGAAGGAACAGCTCGGCGCGCGAGCGAGAAGGAGAGTGTGTGCCCTCGAGTCCCCCTCGAGATTTTCCTCGCCGCCCCTCTCACCGCCATTCTTTATCCTTAGAGGAAATAAAACCAGAGTTGTAAGAGCCGAATGATTAATATCCAGCCGACAGTTTGTGAAGCGGGCAGCCAATAAACGGGATAAAAATACTCGTGAAAAATAGCGCGCTCATTAGGGGTACAGTGACATCTGCGACTGCCTGCCTCGAGTGCTCTCGCGCTCTCGAGAGAGGAGCCCGAGAAGGCGGGTCGAGGAGGGCCGATGGGGTGAGCGAGAAAAGGAGGTGAGGAGCGGGCGCGGGGGTGCAGGGCGCCGAGGGGAGGCAGCGCCGAGGAAAACGGAGGGACAGATTTATTAAAGTAATGGCAGATTATTTTAATATTCCGATGGGAGTGCGCGCGCTCCATTCGTTGTCTCGTGCCAATTCAATAATCCGCGTCCGGGCGATCCTTTTCTCGCTCCGGAGCATCATTATTACCGGATGCTCGCGGGCTCTGCTTCCCCCGCTCGACACGTATAAGAGACGAATGGACTTGCCGATCTATGGCGAGAAACGTTTCTCGAAGCGCGCGAAGACTCGTGCCATTTCGTGTCGCAAAATTCGACACTCATTCTCTTTTCGCGCGAATCCGCGCGCGCGCGCGTTCGTGTTTCGAGCGCAGCGCTAAGTGTACGATATGAACGCGAACTGAGCGTTATGTAATATCGACGAGCTCCGCTCCGGAGAAACCGAGAAGGAGTCTCCTGCTCTGTTTATACGAGCTTGAAGTGGCACGAGAGCTAAATTTTTGCCGAGAACGCAACGGATATACCGCGCGCAGCTGTTGGCTTTTGGAAGCCGTAAGTGTTGCCATACCAAAGCAGTAATATCCGAGTAATCGATTCGACTGATACAACCGCCTGTTATTTATTCGTCCTTATCAACGTGCCGCGTTGCTGACTTTTTCCTACGTTTTTTCGAAGACGCGTTTCGCGCGAATGTATCGCGCGACGATGGAGGCTGGGATAATGAAAGTTGTTAGGAGAGAAGAGTGCATAAGATGAATGGGGACAATTATGACAGCGGGGGTGAATAAGAGACACCGCGGTGTCTTCTAATGATAAAATCGATGGTCATCACGAGGTCGTTAAGCAATCACGACTATTAATCAAACGTTCATCGTAGAATTGTTAGAAAAGAAAATGACTGTAGAATTTATCATTGAGAGACATGACGGTACCTCATCTCGTTACGCAACTGCAACGATTCATCCCGAGTGCACAATTAATCAATATAATCCAATTGCAATCCTGGTAATGGCGAAAAATATGGCGGAAAAGAAGAGCCATCGTTGCCATGTAGCGTTTAAGCAAAAGGCGAACAATGTGATATTCTATGAAATAAAGAGGGGGTCGAGAGACGCGCAGACGATCATTTTATTCTTGGCATTAGTTCATGCACGTTTTATTTTAGAATATTATTACACGATGAAAAAAGAAAAAGGAACTATATACTCTCTAAATCTGAATCAGTGGATAGTCACTGATTATCAATGGTTATATTTATTGAATGCATCAGTTCCAAGTATGTCATTGATAATCAGTAAAATTCAACTTCATTGTCTCTCGGAAATCACTAATAAGTAAGTAAATAATCTCTATAATCGTTGGCAAATCAGTGGACTTCGCTATTTCTCGCTAATCGCACAGCGGATTCAGTTCTGTTTCACTTATTCATTAGCGATGCAAGACTCAATCAGTGACTTTTTCCACTGATTCAGATTTAGAGCGTATCTATTCGTTCTTAATCTTATCGAGCTCCTTTGGTTCGCCAAGAAATCTTTCAGGAATACACCGGAAGGCGCCATTATTATGCCGATATGTGTGTCGTTGAGAAAGCAATGTGCCTTTCGAAAAAGCTACTATATTAATTGCGGGACGTCGATCACGTAAACCGCGCGCTTGTTGCAAATCAACTTTCGCGCCGTTCCTAAGGGTTTATGTGAAACAGTTATGCAATTACCCCACCCAGTTCAACATACTCAACAACGTGGCCGCAACCGGCCGCCATTATGCGCGTCGGAATCTCCGATCGCAACCATCAGAGCACTGATATACCGCTCGCCATCAAAATCACGCGCTACAAAGTGTATTTTCCTTGCTCACTATGTATTTTTTTTTGTTAACCATTTTTTTTTATTCTCAATCACGACGCGGCCCGATCGGCCGTTCGATCGCGACATTGCACTCGAATCGGCCGGCATAATCTTGACGTATATTTTTCCGGACAGCGCGGCCGCGGGAGCGACCGGCGCGGCGCGGGCGCGGGCGGACCGATGGTGGTCGGCGCGGCGATATTCGTTAGGGGCCATTTTTAAAAATTAAATGTCCCACTTTATCGTTACGCGCGGCGATTAATAATAACGGGCGCGATCGGGCGCGCGGGCGCGCGTATCTTTCCATGGTCTCTCCCGGGTATAAATCTGCGAAATTCTGGAATTATCAGGCGGCGGGGCATGAAAGGCTATTTCCGTCGCGCGGAATCGCGGGCAATATTTTACCGCCCGGGATTGGGGTTGAACGCGGGACACATCGACGTTTGATATTTTTATGCAGTGGCGCCACCGCGGCGAGATTTACGAGGCAGATATGCGATCACAAAATGTCCGACACTAAATCAAACATGTTGCATCGGAAAACATCCGAAATTATTATTGGGACTTTTATTGGATCGACGGGAATGAAATAAACGTGTGACGTAACTTTATATTCCGCCGCTCCCCTTTCCTCCTCGATTCCGCGAGTCCCTACCCTCCCCCCCAACCCCTTCGCGCGTTCCTCGTTCCGCGAGCGCGCCGTTCTATCCGTTCTCTTGCGGAATAAAAGGCTAACTTTATGATTGATTCGCCTTTTTTTACGAGCCTTTTTTCGTCGTACGTCAGTTGCCGAAGGCGATGGATGGATCCTCCGTTCTCCGTCGATATCGCATCCTCCTGCGTTTCTCGAAGCGAAATGCACGCGGCATCGCGGCAGGAATTTCCTTTAATCATTAGTGAGTTCCACCTGTTCTTTTATTAATTTGATTTTTTAACATCATGCGCAATACGCTGGTTTCTGAAATTTTGCAGCATTCCTCACACGGAAAGAACGATTTTGTTGAAAGGTCTAAAAATTTTGCTAAAAACAGATCTGAAAGTAATTTTTTGTTGAATCATCAAAATAATTTATTGGAATGTTAAAACTGATAAGCATTGCTATAAAACGTTTTGATATTCTAGCAATCACTTTGCAGGCTTTCGCACAAAATTATTTTAATTACTGAACAAAAATTATTTTCAGATCTGGATTCAGCAAAATTGTTCTTTCCGTGCACGGATAGCCAAAATATCCATTTTTTAAATTTAATGTCTTATTTATATATTTCAATACATATATTTTTATATATATGTATGTCTTACCCTTTCAAATCAATTGATTAATCGCTTGTTTGGCGTCCCTATGTTTCGATCAAGTTATTCGACAAATATTAACGCGAGTGAGAAAACGATGATGATCCCGAGGAAATGGGTCACCTATAGGAATCACGTCGCGTCGCAAGGGGGCTTTAATGAAAGAGAACGGGGGCACTCGTCTCCTCCCCTCCTCCCCTCTCAAGATCGCCGCAGTTTGCTGTTATTAATCGCGCTAATCGATTTGACGCGCGCTGCTAATGCAGCCTCGGCGAGATGCGGTCTCGTGTGCCGTGTCTATCTTTTATTGATGCGGCCGGGCGCTGGCGCCGGCGTCCGACGCCCCCGTAATTGAAGGGACGCCCTTTAACTGAATTTCAAACGATCGCATTGTCAGCGTTGCGTTTGCGATTGCGCGTGAGCGTCGCGACGTCTTTCGCCCGACGTTATACGTTCATGAAGCGCAACGCGCGATATTCTACACGATTTCGTTTTATGGGCCGCGGTAAAACCCGCAAAACGAAGCTTCGATTAACGGCGCCCATAATTCCCAACAAGTGGTACAGTCGATAAAAAAAAAAGTTTATAAAAGACATATTTGGAACAAAGTATACGTAATATTAAACAAAAAAGTATCTCGTAGTAAAATTAAGCAGGTTAAAGACAACTCGTTCTGAACAACTTAATAATAAATTAAATAAAAAACAAAGAAAAGAGAAAAAGAGAGAAAAAGAAAGATGGGTAAAAATATTTTTTCACTTCTAAATTAAACCCCGATTTCGGAAATAAAAATTTCATAACTTTGTAGCACGAAACTATCGTGAAATCTTAATAGGCCGATTCTTCACTAGGTGCATCCATCATATCCCGATAACGAAATTCTGTCGAGTGATGCCAAAGTGGTGCATAACGCGTAACTGCACAAGAGCCAGCGTATTCATAGTTGCGTTTAAAGTTGCGATATAGGAACGGAAGTAGTCATTCAGTTGCCGGGGAGGGGTTTCCACCCGGGATGAGGCGATATATCGCGGTTATTGTCCATTAGGAGAGCCCGAGGTGGCCATCCACGCCACGAACTTACTTTACGATCTCCTGCCATCGTTCTCCTGCCTTTTTACGCCGCCAACTCGCTCCCGTTTCTCTCCCTTTCTCGTCCGCTCTCCTACGGTTCACTTCTTGGCACTCACTCTTATCCCCCTTCGCTCCTTTATCTTTGCTATCATGGCTTCCTGTATCTTTTTTTCCTGCGTCATCGTCGGGGTGCGAGAGTGTGCTTTATCCCGCGCCTTATGGCGGCTACGACGAGATTGCTGATTCCTGGGCGATTAATCCGTCATTCTACACCCCCGATATTGTTCTTGGTTGCATTTTTCTGGGAGGCGCAGTATGATACTTAAAGGCCATCCACGCATGAAAAGATTCACTCGGAGAGAATTTATTAGATAATACGAGACGTTTCCGCGACGTCCGTTTTAGACAGACGTCCTCTTCCCCCCATCTAAATAATCAATAATCCAATGATTAAATTAAACAATTAAATTATATATTTATGACAGTTTTTGAAAATTAAGAAAATTTAAAAATACAAGTATTTCCGAGGAACACAATTTAACACACTTGGACAACTGTATGTCTCGCATTTCCATTTTAATGCAAAAGGCACCTCTTAACCATATTTCTCACTCGCAAGTTTTGCACCATTTTGAACGGATCTCGACGACTAATGCCCCTCATTAAAAGTTTCTCCCGCTGCACCTTGAGATGCGCCTCGTACTCGGGATATCACATAATCCATTGACCCGAGAAGTATCGTAATCGTGAAAAATATATTGCTCTGAAGGGTCGCATAAATCCCGGCCGATAGCTCCTCCCGGAGAGAGAGAGAGAGGGGAGGAGGGGGAGAAAGAGAGACAGAGGTCCGTAAGAGACGACGGCTGGAGAGAGGGCTGGTTAATTGGCATGACAGATAGAGGGTGCGAGAGAAGTTGTCGCTTAGTAACATTACGTCGCGATGAAAGTGATTTCCAACCCTCCTCTCGTGCCGCCGCGCGCCGCTGCCGCTGCCGCTGTCGCTACTTCTGCGCCACCCGCTGTTCCGCGTATTGGCGAAACGTTTCAGAGTGGATTGCACGAGCGCTCGATTCCTTGTATTATTAGAGAAGAAGAGCTCCGGGGCTTTTTCATTGCGTACTATAGTCTCGTGTCCGCCTCCGATAAGGACAGTTTTGTCGTCCTCATAAAAAAAGACAAAAATATTAGTCTTTGCTTTTGCGTTACGCGATGAGAGATAAGCGCAAATTATATACAAATATCTATCTAGGATCAATCATTATCGCTATATATCGCTGTATGGCTTGGCAGTAAAAGATAAAGATTTTATAAATCATTAATAAATAATAAGCTAATTTTTAAAACAAATAAAATAATAAGCAAGCTCTTCAAATTCTAACGTCGTCGAAGTATCTGAAATTCTTTTAACAGATTCGATATTCTGTACGTCCGTAATTTATTGCGTTCTTTTATTACAAGAAAACACTACATCAGAATTTCGAAATCTCTCTTTCATCGCTATATATCATAATATGTAGATAATTCATAGCTTCACTAACGTTGAATCTGTTCATATTAAAATATTCGACTATAACGCTATACTACTTCCGTATTGTGACGTTAAATGACAAATCTTGAATAGAACGTCAAAAATCTCATTGCAGATTCGGAGGGGGGAGAGGGGGGGGGGCGTGGAACCTCGCCATATGAGCACCCGCGCGCTGTCCCCTCTCGCAACCCTCTCTTTCTCTTCTCCGTCGTGTTTACAGAGTATCAAGCAACACCATAAGTGGGCGGTACAAAGAACACGTCGCGGGTCCATATATCCCCTGTCCCCTCTCGAAACAAGTCTCTCTTCCATCCCCCCTTCTATACATCATCCGACGACTCATCCGCTGACTTGTTATTAAATTAATCCTTCGTTTAGTCAAATTGATGCATCGATATCACAGAGCGCTCATAATTCACGGCACCCTCCCTCTCGCCCGGGATTGCACTTGTATACGCGCGACCATACGCGCGCGCGCGCGCGCGCGTGAGCGCGCGGTACCGCCGCCCCCGGACTCGCGGCTGCGAGGGGTTGCGCCCCCGCCGCGCGGGCCCCCAATTGCGCCGCGCGTTGCACGCATGGACTCCACTATTTATTAATATCGTTACTTAACATTTCAACCGCTCGTGCATCACGCCGTGACGTCATTAAGATAAATGCGGCCCGCCGGCCGCGGCCTGGCGTCACTCGATTGTTGTTCATTATAATTAATAATTCGGGGGATCGCCCGACGTGCTTTTATATTAAGCGCCGCTTCGCGTCGTATATACACGATAGCGTTACACGATAGTATTAACACGAGAAGGATGCAAAGGGAGAAAAACAATTTCGCGAATCGGAGGAAAGAGCAATTGAAGATGTAAAAAAGTTTCAAGAGATATATTTACGAAAATTATTCTCTTTCACATAAGAAAAATTTCGAAATCTTGATCCTTTTATAAAAATCAAATAGTCTAGCGTCAGATATGTGCTTGAGCGTTAATAATTTAACAAATCATATTTCACAAACATTATAGACATTATTTGGGATTATTTATTTATATTATTATTTGAGATTATCTAATCAGGGGATCCCTTTTTCCTTGCAACGAAAGATTATTCTCATTCTCGTCGAACTCTATTGTCGTGACGAGAACAAGTTTCCGGGTGATACTTTCGGATTCAAATGATATTCCAACTTAAAGTAAGCCGGGATCTCTGAAATCAAATTTGATTTCACGGCGAAGTCTGAATCTTAAACGACACAAGGGGGAGGGGAGGGAGGTCCGTGACCAAACCAGGATCAAACGATTTGATCCGAGGACACAGGATTAAGGAGAGCATAAGCCAGCATGGGTGTGTTTAGGGGATCGAGCGAGTGACCGTGTTCGGCCATCACGGGACGGTGAATTAACACGTGCGTACATCAGTAGGTATCAGTATGTATCAGTATGTACTCTCACGACAGAGAATTACGACTGTCGGGAATAAAACCGCTCGATACGCAACGATTAACGAACATTAAGAAAGATAATAGAATAACGTTCCTTAAAATATTCTAATTGCATTTTTAATCTTTTATGATTTATTAAAAAAATGGTATTATTACGTGTCATTATCTTCAATAAAATGAAAAATATTATTACGTTATAATGTAAAAGTTATATTAATCACTCCTTTCTATATGTTTATTTGCATAATACGCTATTGATGATATTGGAATTAATAGGGGATATAAAATTGCAGTGATCAGTATCAAGTAAAAAGAAATGATTGAAAATTGTTATCTCAGTTGTAACAAGTGATTAACATACTTGTAAATAATTCTGCGAAATACAACATTAATAATTTTATTTTCGTTGCCGTATTTCGTTGTCGACCAACGTCTCTTACTTTTACGATACGATCCATTCTGATGGATACTCAAAGTATCTTCTCTCTTCATTCCCCGGAAATTCGCGTTTGGTTTAATACTTGAAAGAAAAAAGCGGAGCGCGTTTCCGCTATAAAGTGCAAAACTAGTGCATCGCGGTGGCGGGTAGCTTAAAAAAAAAGAAAGAGAAGAGAAAGAGGTGGAGGAGGAGAAAGAAGAGAGAGAGAGAGAGAAAGCAGCTTTGGACAATAGAACGGCCGAACAGAATCGAGTGCGGAGAGCGAAGAGAGCGGAGAGGCAGGGCGGGCCATAAACAAGTGCTTACCGCAATCTAATGCGTCTGTAATTGCTCGAGCACCGGTATCTCCCCCAGCGGTCCCACTTGCTCCCGCGATTTAATTACTATGTAAATGTCGCATTCCCTAACCTGTCCGTTTTCCTGCCTGCCTGCCTGCCTGCCTGCCTGCCCTCTCCCTGTCCCTGGGATCCTCGTCGTCCTCTGCTGTCGTCCTCCGCCGTCGCCACCGCCGCCGCTACCGTTGCCGCCCGATGTCCTTAATTACTTTATACGTTATTATAGCCCACCAACTACTACGCCGACCGTACTCACTCCATCCGGCACCCGGGCAGGAATTCCACTCCATTTCGTTTCAGCCATATTGCCGCCGGGTTAAAGCGGACTGGCTGGGATACATTCTGCTCGCTGATTATCCCGAGCGAATCTCGCCCATGGCACTTATGGCCTTGTTAAGGTATTTTACAACGGGTCCGATTCCATATCCATTTGCGTCGATTGTTTCAAACGGTGTGCGAGAGACGCGGGTTTCGTTGATACATAGACGTCAACGATATTTCTACTTCTATAACGAATAGACGATGTCATTCGAGATATTTTTAAATCGCGTTTCTTTTACATCGATATAACTTGTTTATTGCCGTTTACAAAACTTTATCCTTTGCGGATTCACGCCGACATTCTGCTGTAAGTAAAATACTTGTCAGATAATTTTACATGCTAATGTCGTAAGGTAAGCAAAAAAATAATTTTTTTCTTGCAGATAGTAAAATAAAAGAAATAACTGAAGGATGCTATTGCGAGGGAGTTTTAATGGCCGCGTATAGGGAGCCCATTTAAGTTGCTTGTAAGTTTTCAACGGATTAAAATAAATATCGCTAAAGCACGATGGATAATACTGCTACTGGTGATTTGGAAGCCGGCCATTGCGCGAACGCGCGATAAACTGCATTCGTATTGCCTCCAAATGGAGAACGATTTCATCCCGTTTCGGTCCCTCTCTTTGTCTCCTGGTCCTCGTTTTCCCCTGCCCCTCCCTGCTCGCCGTTTTCTCTCTCTCTCTTTCTCTCTCTCTTTCTCTGTCTCTCGTCGGACTTTTAACAGTATAAATGGTCCCGCTGTCCACAGGCTTCCGATAATGTGGCGGCCGAGAGGGTCGTGGGAGGATGGCTCTGGTCAGTTTGTCAGCCACCGATGTACCTAAGAGGGTCCTTTTCCTCCTGCGTCGATTTGTCTTCCACCGCAATGGATAAACTTCACGCAATCTGCCAACGGTATTTCTCAGAGGCAGACGCGATCTGACGCGAGCACGTGCGCCCCGCACGTCGGATTTTACCTCGTCCGCCATTTGACAATGGAATTGATTTCGGAAATTAGCGGATATCCCTCCGTTGATAATTGCATCTTTACATGTTGCGCCGCGAGTGATATATTTCGGAGATATATTTCGCCAGATTATAGAAATACATAATTGGATGTAAGCAGATAAATCTCTTCGTACAAATGTTTTCAATATAATTAATTTAGAAAGAACTATAGATTAATCAAAGAACATATTCTTTTTTAAAGATGAAGCGTTTTTTTTTAATTTATCACAATAGAAATATGTGATTTTAACAATATTGTTAAGAAAATTGATAATAAGATACTGCGTGTGTTATCCTTGATTAAAAATTACGATAGTATAATGAGACATGTCTTTTATAGGAGAAACTTTAAATTGCGGTTTAATCAAACGGATACCACGTTTAAAGCCCGTATCTTAACTTAGATAAAACGGAAGAGCGCGATTCTACAATCAAATCATGGTCTTGCTTATAAACTTTATAATTAAAGAAGAGATGAGAGAGAGAGAAAGAGAGAGAAGAGAGAATTTATATCTAAAATATTTAATAATGTTGGACAAAAAAAGAGCAAATATTGTGCGTTGTCCATTGAAAAACTATCCATTGAATAATATCTATATAAAATTTTACTTAAAATTGATAAAGATAATAGCCTTTGATTCAGTTTAGTAAGATGTTCTATTTAAATAATTACAAGTTTGTCATTTTATTGATTACATTTTTTAAATTTTATTGCAAATTGCAACAAGATTTAAAAAATGTAATCAATAAAATGACAAACTTGTAATTATTTAAACAGAACGTCTTACTAAACTGAATCAAAGGCTATTATCTTTATCAATTTTAGGTTGAGATAAGAGATTAGTTACGATGCAAGATTGACGGTACAAGAATAACTCGCATTATTCTCTGTAAGTCCGCGGCAAACACACGCGTGTAAGAAATTCAGGATAGGGGAGTCCCGCCCTCGCCTCGGAAAATATATGCGGGGTGGCGGCGTGCGGTTTTCACCCATAGCGCGTTCCCTTTATGAAACAAATATGACTTTTAAACGGAACGAACATCCAGACACTCGTAGAGCACTAACAGCGGGGAAAGATTAAAGTTGCGGGCCGTCCCGATGTTTTCGAGTGGCTTCCAGTGCTTTTAGTAGACATTTCTTGGTGATTAAAAGGGGCGTCGCGTTAGGGCAGCCGGCCAAATGAATCGGATTTCTTTCCAGCTTTATCAAAAATTCCGATCGTATTCCAACCTCGTCCGCTGCAAAGTCTCCACACTTTTATGCATCTAAATTCTTATAAATTAAACGCTCGATAGCACAGTAATCAGAATTTTTATCGTCTCATTCTAACGATTAAAAATAAGTTACTTAAGTAAGCTAATTGCAGTTAACGTGCACACGGATAACAGAAAATCTTTTTCAACACGGAGAAAATTTTACTTTAAAATTTACCCTGAAAATTATTTTAATCGTGAAACAACATAATATTTCGACGAATTTTATGTAATTTTTACTATTTTTTTTTTAAATATATACTACGACAAATTTAGTGTACAGTAAAAAAAAACAGAAAATATATATTTGTCAACATAAAAATCATGTTAATTGTGGGACATAGTATTTCGACAAATTTTGTGTAAATTTTAAAAGAAAATTCTCTTCGTGTTACCAACAAATAATTAAGACTTTATCATAGTGGCCTTCTCCCCTTGTATCCTTCTGCGTCGAATAAGCGTCCATTATTTCTTCTGTCCTAATTATTCGGCCGATCGAACATCTCTAATAACCGTAGCATCCCCCAAAATTATGATTACGACAACGACAGACTATACCAGTCCGAGACGTTCGGGGCGTCCGGCGGATCATCCCCGAAAGGACGAATTCAACCACGAGAATCGTGATCGTTGCCGTAGTCGTCGTCGTCATCGTCGTCGCGACGAGACTCGATCGCTCGCTATAAACTTCGATAAGCGAGCGTGACGAATGCGCGCTGGGGATTCCCGGGTCCCGCTCGATTCGATACGCGGAAAAGTAAAAGCGTGCATGTCGGTCGACCAATTCCCGTTTGCCTCTCCCTGCCACCCTTCCTTTCTCCGGGACCCCACGCGAGATCGAGTGATCGCACTTCTAACTGCCAATAATTCCTCCCTCCCTCCCTACCCGATTCGCCAGTTCGCTCATGCCGGCCGACACGAAATCCCGGGTTTTACTTTGAATACCGCATTGATTAACTTATCTAATCTAATTTAAATGCGAACGAGGGGACGACGACGACGACGACGCCGACGACGCCTTCGCGTTCTCTCGGTCCCACTTTGAAGGGAGAAGGGTAGGGGAATGAAAAACGTAGGTCGGATCCAAGTAGCGTCGCTGAAGAACGGGGGTGGGAAAGCGACGTCGGTGGTGGTGACGACGCCGTTTGCGTCGGTGGCGGCAGGGAGCAGAGGGGAGGGAGACGGACAGTGGAAACATCAGGAGCGTCGGCAAGTGTTCCCTCTCGGGACAGCACGAGAGGGATGAGAGGAAGGCTTGTAGCGGGGGTGGTTGCTCTCGGAGCTAGAGAGACGACTAAGGGGAAAAGAGAAAGACAAAGAGATAGAGACGCTGACGTAGACTAGAGAGAGAGAGAGAGAGAATAGAGGATGGGAAGAGTAAAAGAGGAAGAGAGAAAGAGAGAGGACAGAAAGGACGGAGTAAAAGAGGGTAAGCGGTCTCCGTTCGCGAGAGAAAGAGAGAGAGAGGGCGAGCGGGGTGGAAACAAGAGACGAGGCGATCCGGGATATGGGCGGGTTACCGTGTACGTGTGTACGCGGAGGGGTAGGTAGGTAATACGTGCGGAGGGTGGCGGAGAAAGAGAGAAGAGGATGAGAGGGAGAGGGTGTGTGTAGCGGATGTGGCGGGTAAGGCGAGCCGGGGCATACAAACCGCCGTGTAACGCACCAAATTGAGTGCTGAATCCCGGATTAAATCGGCGAGAGCGAAACAAGGGTATCGGGGGGTTGAGTGACGAGAGGGAGGGTGCCCGGCGGGGGAGGCAAGGGGAGCGTCCGTGAAACCGGGGCGAAGATGGGGGAAAATCCGCACTCGGAGCCCGGTAGTCTAAGTCCGCCCCCGCGTACATTCTCTCTCTCGTTTTCTCTCTCTCTCTCTCTCTATCTCTCATCTATCCATCTCACTCGCGGGGGTGCAACTTGTAGATCTCACTAATTCTCCGATAGATCTCTGCCTACCCCGTCTCTATCCCTGTCTGTCAGGACGAAGGGATGGGAAAGGGGTGCGTCTCCTGCGTAAGTGGATGCATTTTGCGCCGCGAGGCTAATGTATCGCGGAAATTGGAGGTTTTGCGCCAGGAATTATGTGATGAAAGATCGCCGGCGAAAATATCTCATCTCATTTCTGTGAAAATTAACGCAATCGTCTGTTTTTAAGAAATTATGTCTTAATAATTATCAATTAAATTGGTTCATCTAAATGATATTTGATCGAATGCTCAAAGTTATTCTCAAAAGATATCTTATTTCTCGTCAGCGCAAGATCTGATTTAATACTTAAGTAAATTCACGAAGAAGGCAAAAGAAGTAAAAGAGTAACACGCCTCGTTCGAATTTTTGCTGAAAAAAAAATCAGACTCAATTTTCAGAATCAAAGATTCTGGCAATCGGGAAGAAATGTGTGATATCCTGGATATCCTGGAAAATATCCTGGACTATAAATGAGACTCGTGGTTAACGCCATGTCACGCGTGTACTCGAGGATATTAGAAGGAGGGCGTATCGAAATACGGAGAGTTTTAAATAAGTTTGCTCGCCGGCATTACCGTGTCGAGCAGCCGCCGCGGCTTGTAAAGTTTCTCGTTAAAAAAGGCGAAAAGGTAGATTCCATTATAAACTTTAAGGCATGAATTTTCATTTAATTTCATCCGCACGGGCAAGTGAGCGAGCTAAACGAGCCGCGAGCTTCGATTTCCGATCCGAAAACTTCGGCAGCACGCTAATTACCGCCAACAACCGCGACACTCTGTAGACATTGTCGCGTTCTCCCGAATGAGCGGTTACTAAACTAGCGTATATTGCTACTACCACCGGGATGATGTCACCTTGCAAAAACAGGTTAAAATTAACGAGCGAATAAAGATCTATTGTTATTATTCTAATTTTTCAGGACACCGCAATTTTTAATTGGATTACATGGGATTGATCGAAAACTCTGTATGCATCATTTAAAGCCTATAAGAACGGCTGCTTAAAATACAAATTTCTAAGTGATGTAATTGTTTGTGTGTAATGTAAGTACTGTGAATGTTAGGATGTTTGAAATGAAAGGAAAGCTAATAGTCCTCCCTCAATGATACCCAACTCACAATCAGAGAAATCTCTCGGATCGCTATTACAAAGAACAACGTGAGAACCGGGGTGTTGAAGAAACAACCGGGGACCTTTAAACATGTCGCAGTCCTGCTCGCGATGCTCTCGAGCAGGGACATCAATGCGAAACCACCGACGATGATCCGAGAGTGTAGCGAAGGGACTCTGCAGGCTGTTCACACAAAGAGAATCCGCTTGTACGTGTGCGTAGCGCTCGTTTACATGTATATATAGGGTGTTCCTGTTATCTCGCGTTTTGAATTTTAAGAACAGAGATGAGCTCCTTGGTCACATTGTATCTAAATTTTCTTAAGAATGTCAAAAGATGCTAATAACTTTTAAATACTCAACGACTGACAATGAGCTTCAGAGAGACGAATAATTAATAAAAATAAAATAGATTAATTATAGATACATAAAGAATAGACATAAAATCAATTGTATAAATTTTCGACAGAATTTTAATTTAAGACTTACAAAGATATATCGCGAAAAATTTCAACAAAAATAATACGGTCTTTTCAACAAATCTTTTTCTCCAACGAAAAATCTTCAAATACATCAGAAAAAATATCATTCAAGTATTTGTATCAGTCGAATGTATAAGACACCCTGTACATTTATGTACATTTAGGTGAGGGATGAAAGGAGGCAGGGAACGACTATACGTATAGTAGTACAGCTCCGCTGCGAGTGACTTTGCAGCGCGATTCAGGAGAGATATGGGGGTCCGCAGGAGGAGAAGGAGGCGGAGGAGAAGGGGGACGACGCAGAAAGGCAGAACGCATAATGGCCGGAGATCAAGAACTATAATAGACCGAC